AACAACAACAAGATTCCATTTATTGAGCGCCTTTCACGTCGGGAGGACGTCCCAAGGTGCTGTACAGTTGGATCAGGAACCCGAGCAGGGGGGAAATGGTCAGGGTGAGGGGAGGGAAGGGAGGAGCGAGGAGGGGGTAGAGAGTCGAGAGGAGAGCTGAAGGCATGGTCAAAGAGAAAGGTCTTGAGACCGGCCTTGAAGGAGGAAAGGGAGGAGGCAAGACGAAGGCACTGGGGGATAGAGTTCCAGAGCCTAGGGGCTGAGAGGCTGAAGGCCCGGCCACCGATAGTAGGGCGGTTGGGGCGAGGGATGTGGAGCAGACCGGAGCCAGAGGAACAGAGGGTACGGGCGGGTAGGTAGGGGGATAGCAGGTCGGAGAGGTGATGAAGAGCAGGGAAGTTTTGATAAACTTCTATCGAACCTTAGTTTGACCACACTTAGAATACTGTGTGCAGTTCTGGACTCCTCATTTTAGAAGGGGTGTAGAGGCATTGGAGAGCGTGCAAAGGAGATTCGCAAGGAGGATTCCAGAACTGAGAGGTTACACCTATCAGGAAAGGCTGAACATCCTTGGACTTATTTCTCTTGAAAAGACGAGAGTAAGGGGGGACTTGATAGAGGTCTTTAAAGTGATGAAAGGTCTTGATAGGGTAGACATAGGGAAGATGTTTCCACTTGTGGGGAGGACCAAAACCAGGGGCCATGAATATAAGATAGTCACCAATAAATCAAATAGGGAAGTTAGAAGAAATGTATTCACACAAAGGGTACTGGGAATGTGGAACATGCTACCACAAGAAGTTTTTGAGGCAAATGGCATAGATGTATTCAAGGGAAAGCTGGACAGGTACATGAGGGAGAAAGGAATAGAAGGTTGTGAGAGAAAGCTTAGTTGAGGAGGGGCAGGAGGAGGCTCATGTGGAGCATAAACATCAACGATTTGGACGAGGACATTGAATGTAACGTATCTAAATTCACGGATGACACTAAACTAGGTGGGAGAGTAAGCTCTGAGGATGATGCAAAAAGATTGCAATGGGATATAGATAGGCTTGGGGAGTGGGCGAGTAGGTGGCAGATGGAATTCAATGTGGGGAAGTGTGAAATTATTGCTGGGATGAGGGGACTGACCTATGAGGATAGGCTGAATAAACTGGGGCTATATTCTTGAGAGTACAGAAGAATTAGGGAGATCTTATTGAAACAGATAAGATTCTTAAAGGGCTGATAAAGTAGACACTGAGTGTCTGTTTCCCCTGGTAGGAGAATCTATAACCAGGGGTCACAGTCTGAAAATTAAGGGTCAGCCTTTTAGAACAGAGTTGAGGAAACATTTGTTCACTCAGAGGGTAGTGAATTTATGGAATTCACAACCCCAGAAGGCTGTAGATGCTCAGTCCTTGAACATCTTCAAGGCTGAGACTGATAGACGTTTAAACAACAGAGGGATTGGGGGATATGGGGAGAGAACGGGTAATTAGCGTTAGGTCTGAAGATCAGCCATGATCTTATTGAATGGCGGGGCACAGGCTCGAGGGGCCGAATGGCCTACTCCTGCTCCTAATTCTTATGTTCTTATGCTCTTATAAACACCGACATAGACCAGTTGGGCCGAATGGCCTGTTTCTGCACTATAAATTCCAATGTATTCTAAACTCTTCTTTTGCACTGGGCAGCAAGATTCAATTATGTGCATGCACCACAGTTACTAAGGATGCTTTATAATTATGTGAAATTTAGCATGTGGATTACAAAGTAATGCACTCCTGATGTATAGGCAATTACCCAGATATTTGGGGAAAAACGTAGGTTTTTAAAAGTGAAATCCAGGAGAAATCATTTTTTATCAATTGACTTTAATCTAAAAAATTTTAAAAGTCGATATTCATCATTTACAATTATATTGTGATGGTCCTTCAGGCCACTTCCTATGCTATAATTTCTATGTTTCTTTGAGTGAGACAGTTAATAGGGAGAAACCATATCACACGAGTAATAGGGAGAAACTGTAAAATAATATTAATCCTTGCATTTCATACAGCATACTATCACATCATTGAGATGTCTCAAAGCACTTCATAGAATATACTATAAAGTGGATTGACTGTGAATTTTGTGGGTGAAACAACACGGTAACAAATTGCACACAGAAGTGTCCACAAACAGCCGAGGATTGAGTAACCAAATTTATTTTTTTGAGGGATTATTACCTCCGGAAAGCAATGCGTCATTTGACTTATCGACTGGGCTTCTACCTACAGCTCAGCAAACAGAGGCGTGTGGAATAAGGAAACTTGCCGAAGGTTTCCCCCTGCCCAGGAATCAAACTCAGCTCCTCTCACTTGTGAGGCAAATGCGCTAACTATGACACTATGGGCTCCATCTAAAATATATGGACTTGTTGGCCTTCCCAACTCTTCCCTCCACAAGCTGTAAATCATCTAGAACTCTGCAGCTCGTGTCCTCTCTCGCACAGGGCTCTGTGACTCTATCACCCCCACCCTCACCCGCCAGGCTCCACTAGCTCCCCGTCCCCCAGAGAATACAATTCAAAATCTTATCCTCGCCTTCAAGGCTCTCCATGGCCTTGCCCCCTCCGTACCACTATGACCTGTTGACCCCATATCAGCCTGTCCACACTTTCCACTCAGCAGGCTCCGTCTTGGTAAATATACCCTGCCTGGCCCGTCTCACCATCGGCAGTCGAGCTTTCAGCCTTTCTACCTACATCCTTTGGAACTCCATCCCACATTCCCTTCAGCTTGCTTCCTCCCTTGCCTCAATAATAATAATCCTTGCATTTGATATAGCGCTTTTCACGTCTTCTGGACGCATCAAAGTGCTTCACAGAATAGGCTGTAAAGTGAATTGACCGTATATTTGTGGGCAAAATGCGGCAGCCAATTGCACACAGCAGCGTCTGTCCCACAAACAGTCCTGGATTGAAAATGACCAATTTATTATTGTTTTGTTTTGGAGGATTATTAGGCCTGTGGAGTAAGGAAACTTGCCCAAGGTTTTGCCCTGCCTGGAATTTAACCCAGGTGTCTCGCTTGCAAGGCGAGTGCTCTAACTACTGAGCTACAGGACTCCTTCAAGGCATGTCTCAAGACCCTCCACTTCGATCGCGTCTTCAGATACCCTTCTACCTGCCACCCTCTCTGACTCCCAGCTCCGGTCCAAATCCCTGACTGTCCGGTCCAAATCCCTGCATTGGCATGGCCTCTGGATGTGAAAGGTGTTGTACAAATGTAACTTATATTGTATTGTACATAAAATATAAGATATAACTCTAAAATATAACTGACAAAATGGAATGGATTCATCATCTATAAAAAGAATTTGACAAGGATTCAAATATCACTTTTATTCAAAAAAAATCTGGCTCCTCACAGCGTTACAGTCTTCCCTTCCATTTCAGTGCGCCTCACAAGGAGCATCTAGTAATAACAAGAATCCTTACATTTGGTCAGCAACTTTCAAATAAGGAGGATGTCACTAAGTACTTCACAGTCACTCCACTCTAAGTGAAGTAACTGTGCCATCTATGGGCAAATGGGGCAGCCAATCTGTGCAGAGTAATGTCCCCAAAACAGCCATTAAATATTTGGGACAAAAGCAGAGAGAGCTGGGAAAACTCAGCAGATCAGGCAGCATCTATGGAGAAAGGAAAGTGAGTCAACGTTTCGGGTCCATGAACATTCGTCAGAACTGGGGGGTGGTGGTTGAAACAAAACTGGGGGGGAAGAGGTGTTTTGCACTATTAACACCTCTTCTCCCCTTTTGTTTTACACCACTATCACCTCTTTAACCCATCAACTAACACATTCTCTCCTTTGTCTTTTTTGTCTTCTTTGTCGTCCTTATCCTGCCTCCCCCTCTCAACTTGTCCTTAAAAACCTCTCCCTCCCAACATGCCCCAGTTCTGATGAAGGGTCATGGACACGAAACCTTGACTCACTTTCCTTTCTCCATAGATGCTGCTGCACCTGCTGACTTTTCCCAGCTCTCTTTGTTTTTGTTTCAGATTTCCAGCATCTGCAGTGGTTTGATTAAATATTTGGGAATTGTTGGCCAGGACATGGGGAGAAATTCCCTTTGATTTTCAAATAGTGCCACAGGATATTTAACATCCACCTGAACAGGCAAATAGGGCCTTGGATTACAATCCCATCCCGAAGGACAGCACCTCTGACAATGCAGTGCTCCCCTAGCACTGCATTGGAGGGTCATAGACAATATGGTTTCAAGTCCAAAGTGGGGCTCAAACCCACAACCTCAAAGGACTCAAAGGCAGGAATGCTACCAAACTCAGCGAGGAGTGAAGGAGGAGCGGAGGCGAGGGAGGTGGCAGAAAGTTGATGATTGGTAGGTTTCAGGTCTAATGGAACAGGGAGATCCAGTGGTTTGGGATGGCATGGATAAAGCGTTAGCCATTGAGAGTACGGCAATGGGTGTCAACAAAGTGCAGTGAGTTAGTTAACTCAGACGAGGAGATGAGCAAAAGAGTTGGTAAAAAGGTGACAAAGATCAGAAGTACTAGGTTTGTGAAGAAATTGATCACTGAGGACAAGGACATTGGAGTCAATGTGTTTGGAGACAGGAAGGCATTGGAGCTTGGCAATGGGTGCGCAGAGCTTGGTGTGGATGAGGTGAGGTGTTTGGGTTCTGGATCAGCTGGAGTATCAATGGCGAAATTAGGAAGACTGTTGTAGAGTAATTTGGAAAAAGTCTATTTTACGGGTAACGAAAATATGATGAGGATTTAACAGGAAGGATTTAGTGGTGTGTAAGTGTGAGATTGGGATTAAACATTAAAAGGGGGTCTGTGCTCACTGGGAAGAGATAATCAAATAAAAGATATAATAATCCTTGCATTTGATCAATACCTTATCACGTTTTTGAGGCGTCTCAAAGCGCTTCACAAAATATTCTGTAAAGTGAATGTATATTTTGTGGGTGAAATGCAACAGAGAATTGCGCACAGCAGTGTCCCACAAACAGTCATGGATTGAATGAACAAATCATTTTTTTTTACTGAAGACCAATAAGTGTTCCTGAATTTCCTGGACTAAATACAATGATGTTTTTGTGAACTCCAGCAGAGTGGACAGAATGTGACAGAGCGATGATGGATGTGTTAAGGCTGTGAAGCAGGATATGGCTCAGTGCTCACTCAGGGTTACTGTGTGCCTGGTGAGTTGTGTGTTGAGCTGCTCGATTCGTTGGCTGACTGGCCGTTGCCTTCACTGCTGAAGAGCTTGTGAACCAAGCGGAAGTAGGAGCCCTCGGCTGCGATCAGATTGCTGTGGTTACCCACCTCCACCACCATCCCATTCTCAATAACCACAATCTGATCTGCTCTCTCCACGGTCTTTAGCTGATGGGCAATCACCATCACCGTTTGTTCTGGCAACCGTGACACCGCCTCCTGTATCTGTAACAATACAAAGTAGTTTTACCCCAAACCTATTAATGGGCGTCTGACACTCAAGAAGCCCAGCGAAATCCAACAGTGCCATCAGTTTTACTGAACACCAACTTCTTGAACCAACATCTGGAGGGAGAACGAAGCAGGGAGAGAGCAGAGGGATAAAGGAGTGAGATGGAGTCAGTGGATTGAAGTGACCATTTTATTATCTTTTTTTGAAGGAATTATTATCCCTGGAAAAGGGATCCACCAATCAATTGACAACCGGGTTCCTACTCACTGGGGTAAACAGAGGCATGTGGAGTGATTAGAGGGCCAATGAGCAACTTTGCAAGATGGGGGAGAGAGAGAGACAGAGAGTGGAACCAAGCAAAATGGGGAGAGAGGTTTTGAGCGAGAAAACGGAGAGAGAGGGAGAAAGAGAGACAGGGGGATTGATATGGGAGAGAGAGAGTGACTGATTGAGATGGGGAAAGTGTGAGTGAGTGAGAAAGAGAGAGGGAGGGAGAAAGCGAGAGATGGAGAGAAATGGAAAAAGAGATGGAGAGGGTGAGTGAGTAAGTGAGTGAATCAATGAGTGAGATGGTAAGAAAGAGTGAGTGATTAAGAGAGAGGTAGGTAGAGGGAGAGAAAGAGAGAGAGGGATGGAAAATGAGAGATGCAGAGAGTGTGCAATGATAATAATAGTATTCCTTGCATTTGATATAGTGCTTTTCAAGTCTTCAAGAGTCTCAAAGCACTTCACAGAATATACTGTAAAGTTTAGTGATTATATATTTTGTGGGCAAGAGGGGGCAGCCAATTGCGCACAGCACTGTCCCACAAACAGTCGTGGATTGAGTGACCAAATTTTATCATTTTTTTCTTGAGGGATTATTAACAGGCTTTTGGAGTAAGGAAACTTGCCCAACATTTCGCCCTGCTGGGAATTGAACCTAGTTTTCTCGCTTGCGAGGCGAGGGCTCTAACCACTGAGCTACAGGACTCCTCAAGTGAGGCTGTGTAAGTGAATGAATGAGTGAGTGAGAGAGATATGGAAAGAGTGAGTAAGTCAGTGAGTGAAATGGTGGAGAGAATGATTGAGCACGATGCGAGAGTGAGAGAAAGAGAGAGACCAAGCAAGACAGCAGAGAGAATGACCAAGATGCTAGAATGAGATCGAGAGAGACTGAGCCAGTGGTTTATTTGCATGGTGTGTGTCCGTTTACCTTGTGCTGACTCTCCACATCCAGGGAGCTGGTGGCCTCATCCAGGATCAGGACACGCGGGTCACGGAGAAGGGCGCGGGCGATGGCCACTCGCTGTTTCTGTCCCACAGACAGCTGTCCTCCTGTCTCTCCCACCTCTGAGTAGCAAGTGAAGAAAACATGACCGCACGATCCATCTCCGGTTCCTGATTAACTTTCCAATTATTGTATATTCTCAGATGTCAGTTCTCAGTCACGGAAGCCAGTGACACCGATTCCAACAAGACCAGACTGGACCAGCAGCTACAAGGGAACCCTTAACCCTGCGCCAAGGGAAACAAGGAGGCCTCTTGGTGGGGACAGGGCCAGGCCTGTGGGTTGGGGCAGGACTGTGGGTGGCGACAGGACTGTGGGTGGGGACAGGGCCTTGGGTGGGGACACGGCTGTGGGTGGGGACAGGGCTTGCAGGTGGGGGCACGGCTGCTCTGAAGAGTTTCTGCTCTTACCCGTGTTGTAGCCGTGCTCCATCTTTTCTATGAATGTGTGGGCGTTAGCTCTGTGAGCAGCGTCAGTCACTCGCTCCGTCGGACAGTCCGGGAACCCATACGCGATGTTGTCGTGGACAGAGCGAGCAAACAGCGTGGGCTCCTGAGCCACGAGGCCGACCTGCAACAGTCAGTAACAACCTCACACCACACGCGTGTACACAGGAACTGTAACACATCAGCCTCGCAACACACACATGTACACAGGAACAGTACAACAACAACAACAAGATTTCATTTATAGAGCGCCTTTCACGTCGGAAGGACGTCCCAAGGCGCTGGAAAGTTGGGTCAGGACCCGAGCAGGGGAGAAATGGTCATGGTGAGGGGAGGGAAGGGAGGGAGTGAGGAGGGGGTAGAGAGTCGAGAGGGGAGCTGAAGGCAGAGTCAAAGAGAAAGATCTTGAGCCCGGCCTTGAAGGAGGAAAGGGAGGAAGCAAGGCGAAGGCACTGGGGATGGAGGTCCAGAGCCTAGGGCCTAAGAGGCTGAAGGCCCGGCCACCGATGGTAGTGCAGTTGGCGCGGGGGATGTGGAGCAAACTGGAGCCAGAGGAACGGAGGGTACGGGCAGGTAAGTAGGGGGATAGTAGGTCAGAGAGGTAGGAGGGAGCAAGGCCGTGAACGGCCTTGTTGGTGAGGATGAGGATCTTGAATTCAATCCTCTGGGGGATGGGGAGCCAGTGGAGGCGAGCGAGGGTGGGAGTGATGTTGGCGTGAAGCCTGGTGCGGGACAGTACACGGGCTGCAGAGTTCTGAATGACCTGCAGTGTGGAGGGAGGTACCGGGAAGGCCGGCAAGGAGAGTGTTCCCATAGAGGTGATAAAGGCGTGGACCAGAGTTTCAGCCGCGTGAGGGGTGAGGTAGTGCCGTAGTCTGGCGATATTTCAGAGGTGATGGAAGGCGGTGCCAGTTGTGGCGCAGATATGAGGAAGAAAGGACAGCTCAGGGTCGAACAGAGCGCGAGGTTCTTGACTGGCTTTGAGAGGTGGAGAGTGCAGCCTTGGATGCTGATGCTGTCAGCGACTGAGGTGCAGAGGCGCTGGCGCGAGCCAATCAGGAGACCCTCAGTTTTGCGCACGTTGAGCTGAAGAAAGTTGTCTCTCATCCAGGACTCAATGTCGGACAGGCAGCTGTCAGGATCTCGGTGGTCATGGAGTTGAGGGTAAAGGAGGAAATGTAGAGTTAGGTGTCATCCGCATACATGTGGAAGTTAACCCCATGTCTGCGGATGATGTCACCAAGGGGGAGCATATAGAGGAGGGGACCGAGGACAGAGCCCTGAGGGACACCACACAAGACAGTGCGGGGGGTGGAGGAAAAGCCGTTTGTGGAAACAAAATGAAGACGGTGGGAGAGGTACGACCTGAACCACTCAAGGACAGGGCCTTGAAGGTTGAGGTGGGAGGACAAGCGGTACAGAAGGATAATGTGGTCGACTGTATTGAATGCTTCCGATAGGTCAAGGAGGACGAGGAGGCAGAGGGCGTCCTGGTCGCAGATGGTCAAGATGTCATTGGTGACCTTGACCAGGGCGGTTTCTGTGCTATGGGCAGCACGGGAACCCGACTGAAGGGTTTCAAATAATGCATGGGTGGGGAGGAAAGAGCGCAGCTGGGAGGCGACAACTCTTTCAAGGACCTTGGACAGGAAGGGGAGGTTGGAGATGGGCCGGTAGCTTGATAGCTGCGACGCATCAAGGGAGGGTTTTTTCAAAGTGGGAGTGATGATGGCAGTTTTTAGGGAATGGGAACAGAGCCAGAGGAGAGGGACAGGTTGATGATGTCTGTGATAAGTGGGGCAAGGCGGTGGAGCTGAGAGATGTGGAGTGGGGATGGGGTCAAGGGAGCAGGTGGTGGGTTTCAGGGACAGGATGAGTTTGGTGACAGGGTGGGGAAACGGGTTCGAAGGTGTGTAGGGGAGGATGGGTAGGGAAGGGGTGGGGGGTGGGTGAAAGTTGGAGGGTGAGTGACCGCGGAGCGGATTCCCTTGATTTTGGATTCAAGGAAATCCAGCATCTCCTCGCAGTGAAGGTTGGAGGAGATGACCTGCGCGGGGTGGCGGGGGGTACGGAGGAGTCGGGATGTGTTAGAGAACAGAAGCCTGGGGTTGTTCTTCGCCTCCAGGATTATCCACCAAACTCATCCTATCCCTAAAACCAACCACCTGCTCCCTTGACCCCATCCCCACTCCACTCCTTATCTCGCAGCTCCACTTTCTTGCCCCACATATCACCGACATCATCAACCTGTCCCTCTCCTCTGGCTCTGTCCCCATTCCCTTTAAAACTGCCACCATCACGCCCACCCTGAAAAAACCCTTCCTTGATGCGTCGCAGCTATCAAGCTACCGGCCCATCTCCAACCTCCCCTTTCTCTCCAAGGTCCTGGAAAGAGTTGTCGCCTCCCAACTGCGCTCTTTCCTTTCCACCCATTCTCTTTTCGAACCCCTTCAGTCGGGTTTCCGTGCTGCCCATAGCACAGAAACTGCCCTGGTCAAGGTCACCAATGATATCCTGACCATCTGTGACCAGGGCTCCCTCTGCCTCCTCGTCCTCCTCGACCTATCGGCAGCATTCGATACGGTCGACCAAGCTATCCTACTCCACCGCTTGTCCTCCCACCTCAACCTTCAAGGCACTGTCCTTGAGTGGTTTAGGTCGTACCTTTCTCACCGTCTTCACTTTGTCTCGACGAATGGCTTCTCCTCCACCCCCCGTACTGTCTCATGTGGAGTCCCTCAGGGCTCTGTCCTCGGTCCCCTCCTCTTCACCCTCTATATGCTCCCCCTTGATGACATCATCCGCAGACATGGAGTTAACTTCCACATGTATGCGGATGACACCCAACTCTACCTTTCCTCCTCTACTCTCAACTCCACGACCACCGATGTCCTGACAGCTGCCTGTCCGACATCGAGTCCTGGCCGAGAGACAACTTTCGTCAGCTCAACGTGCGAAAAACCGAGGCCCTCCTGATTGGTTCGCGTCAGCGCCTCCGCACCTCAGGCGCCGACACCATCAGCATCCAAGGCTGCACTCTCCACCTCTCAAAGCCAGTCAGGAACCTCGGCGTTTTGTTCGACCCTGAGCTGTCCTTTCTCCCTCACATCCGCACCACAACTGGCACCGCCTTCCATCACCTCCAGAACATCGCCAGACTATGGCATTACCTCACCCCTCACGCGGCTGAAACCCTGGTTCACGCCTTTGTCACCTCAAGGCTGGACTATGGGAACTCTCTCCCCACCGCTGCCTGACATACCTTCCGTGAGTCCCGCTCGGTTTACCTGGTTTTTTGAGGCCCAGCCGCTCGCTGGCTCCAACACCACCAACAGCAACAACACCAACAACAACACCACCAACAACAGCAACAACAACACCAACAACCACAGCAACACCAACAACAGCAACAATACCAACAACAGCAACACCACCAACAACTCCAACAACAACAGCAATAACACCAACATCAGCAATGAAACCAACAACAGCAACAATACCAACACCACCACCAACGGTAACAACACCAACAACAGCAATAACGATACCACCAACAACAGCCAAAACAGCAACAACAACAACAATAACGATAACACCAACAACAACACCAATAACCCCAACACCAACAACAGCAATAACACCAACAACAGTAATGACACAAACAACAGCAATAACAATACCACCAACAACAGCAACAACACCAAAACCACCATCAACGGCAACAACACCAACAACAACAATAACGATACCACCAACACCAATAACGATAACACCAACAACAGCAAAAACACCAATAACACCAATAACAATACCATCAACAACAGCAACAACACCAATAACAATACTATCACCAACAGCAACAACACCAACAACAGCAATACCAACAACAATAGCAACACCAACAATAGCAACAGCAACAATACCAACAACAGCAACAATACCAACAACAGCAACAACAGCGACACCAACAACAACAGCAACAACTACAACCCCAACAACAACAACAGCAACAACAACAGCAGCAGCAACACCACCACCACCAACAACAACAATAGCAACAACTACAACCTCAACAACAACATCAACAGCAACACCAACGACCCCACTAGCAACACCACCACCAACAACAACAAAAACACCACCATCAGCAACAGCAACAACAACAACCAGAACAACAACAATTAGCATTTATATAATGCACTTCATGCTGGGTAGCATCGTGGAACACTTCAATCATATCCAGTACATTACTATAATAATATAATCCTTGAATTTGATATAGCGCTTTTCACGTCTTCTCAACATCTCAAAGGGCTTCACAGAATAGACTGTAAAGTGAATTGACTGTATATTTGTGGGCGAAAGGCGGCAGCCAATTGTGCACAGCAGTGTCCCACAAACAGTCGTGGATTAAAAATGACCAATTTATTATTGTTTTGTTTTGGAGAGATTATTATTAGGCATCTGGAGTAAGGAAACTTGCCAAAGGTTTTGCCCTGCCGGGAATTGAACCCACGTGTCTCGCTTGGAAGGCGAGTGCTCTAACCACTGAGCTACAGGACTCCACTACTAAATGGTATAGGGAATATTTCTAAATTATATAGGGAATATTACAAAATTATACAGGGAATATTACTAAATTGTATAGGGAACATATTACTATCTCTTACCGCCTTGTGATAATAGTGATGTTCATATTCCTCAATGGGCCTCCCGTCCAGCAGGATCTGGCCGGACTGTGGCTGGTAAAACCTCTCGAGGAGACACACACACGTGGTCTTGCCGCTGCCGAGGCTCCCACCAGCGCCGTAATCTCCCCCGGACGCAGCTCGAAGGAGACTTTCTGTAATAAAACATGGAACTTGAGGATACATCAGCTACGGTAAACACTGCAAAGTGAATTGACTGTAGATTTTGTGGGTGAAACACGGCAGCCAATTTTGCGCACAGCAGTGTCTGTCCCACAAAGAGTTGTGACCAAATTATTATTATTACTTTTAAGGGATTATTACTCCCGGAAAAGTGATCCGCCAATCGACTAACAACCGGGTTTCTACTTACTGCTGGTGAACGGAGATGTGAGGATTAACAAAACTTGCCCAACGTTTGGCCATGATGGGAATCAAACTCAGGTCTCTCGTTTGTGAGGCTTTAACCACAAAGCTACAGGACTCCACACCTCAGCCAAGCTTCCACCCCAACATTCATAGCTTAGTTTCTATAGACTGTATCACAGAGACCTGCAGCTTGTGTTTACAGGATAATAGCAGACGATTAGGGTTACTGTCTCGTGCGGTGTCCCTCAGGGCTCTGTCCTCGGTCCCCTCCTCTTCACCCTCTATATGCTCCCCCTGTGGTGACATCATCCGCAGACATGGGGTTAACTTCCACATGTATGCGGATGACACCCAACTCTACCTTTCCTCTTCTACCCTCAACTCCACGACCACCGATGTCCTGACAGCTGCCTGTCTGACATTGAGTCCTGGCCGAGAGTAAGGCTGCACTCTCCACCCCTCAAAGCCAGTCAGGAACCTCGGTGTTCTGCTCGACCCTGAGCTGTCCTTTCTTCCCCACATCCGCGCCACAACTGGCACCACCTTCCATCACCTCCGGAACATCGCCAGACTACGGCACTACCTCACCCCTCACGTTGCTGAAACTCTGGTCCACACCTTTATCACCTCAAGGCTGGACTATGGGAACTCTCTCTTCGCCGGCCTTCCCGGCACCTCCCACCACAAGCTGCAGGTTATTCAGAACTCTGCAGCTCGTGTACTGTCCCCCACCAGGCTTCGCGACCACATCACTCCCACCCTCGCCCTCGCTCGCCTCCACTGGCTCCCCATCCCCCAGAGGATCGAATTCAAGATCCTCATCCTCACCTACAAGGCCATTCACGGCCTTGCTCCCTCCTACCTCTCCGACCTACTATCCCCCACCTACCTGCCCGTACCCTCCATTCCTCTGGCTCCGGTCTGCTTCGCATCCCCCGCCCTAACCTCCTTACCATCGATGGCCGGGCCTTCAGCCTCTCAGCCCCGAGGCTCTGGAACTCCATCCCCCAGTGCCTTCGCCGCTTCCTCCCTTTCCTCCTTCAAGGCCGGTGTCAAGACCTTTTCTCTTCAACTGTGCCTTCACCTCCCCTCTCGACTCTCTACCCCCTCCTCGCTCCCTCCCTTCCTTCCTTCCCCTCACCCTGACCATTTCCCCCCTGCTCGGGTCCCGACCCAACTGTCCAGCCTTTTGGGACATCCTCCTGACATGAAAGGCGCTCTATAAATGCAATCTTGTTATTGTGTTGTTGTTAGGGTCAGCCTGGCGCAGACACCAAGCTTCTCGTCTCTGCATTCGGAGAATCTTGGCTCAAGCTCCACTTCGGGTTTTTGTGGTGGCAATTAGGCCACAGTCCAGCGCAACAGGGAGTTTATCCCAAACACATGGTATTGCAGTGGTCAGTGTATACAGTATAGCACTCCCCGCGACAGCCTCTCACTGCCCCCCACAGCTCCTCACTCCCCCCGACAGCCTCTCACTGCCCCCCACAGCCCCTCACTGTCCCCTACAGCTCCTCACTGCCCCCCACAGCCCCTCACTGCCCCCCACAGCTCCTCACTGCCCAACAGCGCCAAACTCCCCCCGACAGCCCCCAGCCCATTCCCACCCGACAGCTCCTCACTGCCCCACAGCCCCTCACTGCGCCACAGCCCCTCACTGCCCCACACAGCCCCTCACTCCCCTGCCAATAGCCCCTCACTTCTGCCCCGCCACAGCTCCTCACTGCCCCACAGCCCCTCATTCCCCCCCACACAGTCCCTCACTGCCCCAACAGCCCCTCACTCCTCCCCACAGCCCCTCACTCCCCCACCACAGCTGCTCACTCCCCCCACAGCCCCTCACTGCCCCCACAGCCCCTCACTAACCCCCACAGTACCTCACTCCCCACCCCCACACAGCCCCTCACTGCCCCCGACAGACCCTCACTCCCCCAATAGCTCCTCACTCCCCCACACAGCCCCTCACTTGCCTCGATAATCTCTCACTTCACGCCCACAGCTCCTCACTCCCCCCCACAACTCCTCACTGTCCCCCTCACAGTTCCTCACTCCCGTCACAACTCCTCACTCCCTCCACAGCCCCTCACTCCCCCCATGGAACCAGCAGAACCTAGGTGTTGTGATCCACTCTCAATATTCCTTTGAACCCTGTTACCCCCAGGACCGTCACAGCCAAACTGAGCTTCTCGTTACGAATAGCCACTTGCCTGGAGCTTTCCTTCTGAGCCACCGAGATCCTAATCCACACATTTATCAAGTCCGCACGATGCCAACACTTTGCTCGACAAACTCCTTCCACGAGTTGTGAACCAGCCAGAACTTTGGGGACCGAGTGGTTTCCCACACCCTCACCCTAACCCTGAACCTCTATCCTCCAGTGGATCTTCATCCTAACACATAAACATGTTCACAGTCTTGCCCACACCGGACCTCTGCAACCTCCTCAAACTGTTACAACTCAGCCTCTCTCTCTCTCTGCTCAATGACACTGACCTGCCTCACATCCCTCACCCCAGCCTCCGCACGGTGATCAGGCTTCAGCCCCCACTTCACCTCCCCGTCCTCCCTCACCTCCTTCAAGGTCACCTCATCACCTTCCTCTTTAACCTTGAGTTCCACCCCAGCTTAGGTCACACAATGTAGTGACTGTATCTTATACACACAGTGTAGTGACTGTACCTTATACACACAGTGCAGTGACTGTACCTTATACACACAGTGTAGTGACTATACCTTATCCACACAGTGTAGTGACTGTACCTTATACACACAGTGTAGTGACTGTACCTTATACACATAGTGTAGTGACTGTACCTTATACACACAGTGTAGTGACTGTACCTTATACACACAGTGTAGTGACTGTACCTTATCCACAGTGTAGTCACTGTACCTTATACACAGAGTATAGTGACTGTATTTGATAGACAGGGGTGTGGAGCTCTGTTGTGGTCGTACCTTTAGCACGGGGACGGATGGCCGGCTGGGGTAGGAGAAGGACACGTCGATGAACTGAACGTGGCCGCTCAGCATCTCTGGGGCTCTGGTCCCATTGGTGGGGACAGTGGGAACACGGTCCAGAAACTCAAACACTTTCTCTGCCGCCCCCACTGAGTGTGTCATCTCCGAGTAGATGTGGACCAGGGTCTGCAATAGAGAGGAGAGATGCTGAGAACTCATCTACCCCTGCTCACAACTATTCACACCCCCTGCTCACAACTACTCACACCCCCTGCTCACAACTACTCACACCCCCTGCTCACAACTACTCACACCCCTGCTCACAACTACTCACACCCACTGCTCACAACTACTCACAGTCCTGTTCACAATTCACACACCCCTGCTCACAACTACTCACACCCATGCTCACAATTACTCACATCCACACCCCCTGCTCACAATTACTCATACCCATACCCAAGGCTCACTCACACTGACACTCCAGCTCACAACTATTCACACCCCAGGCCGATAACTACTCATACTCATACCCCAGGGCCACTCACACTCACCCCCAGACTCACTGACACCTCTTACACAATTGTAGTTACATAATCTCAACCCAACTCAAACACACACTGCAGCTTCACACTGACAATCACATCCCAGACTCACACACACGCATGCACAGATACACACAGACCATACTCACAGATACACACAACCGTGTTCACACAGGCACCATGCTCACACACGCAGACACAATGTCCATACATGCACCATACGATGTTCATACATACACTGTGCTTACCCACACGCTATGCCCCGTTACTCACACACTTGGTGTTCACAGTGGGACCTCCTGTCAGTCACTGACCTGCACGTATCGGCCCAGGTCCATCTGGTACAGGATGAAGGCAATGAGGCGGCCGCTGGTCATGTGACCGGTCTGGATCAGGTTTTGCCCAAAGTACAGCATCAGGACCTGTGTGAGCAGCTGGACATGCTGCGTAAACAACACTGAGTCAGAGCACAGTCCACCTGGAAATCACTACACCTGGAAATCACCCACACCTGGAAATCACCCACACCTGGAAATCACCTACACCTGGAAATCACCTTCACCTGGAAATCACCTTCACCTGGAAATCACCTTCACCTGGAAATCACCTTCACCTGGAAATCACCACACCTGGAAATCACCACACCTGGAAATCACCTTCACCTGGAAATCACCCACACCTGGAAATCACCCACACCTGGAAATCACCCACACCTGGAAATCACCTACACCTGGAAATCACCTACAAATAGAAATAACCCACACTTGGAAATCACCCACACCTGGAAATCATCCACACCTGGAAATCACCTACACACAGAAATCACCTACAAATAGAAATCACCTACAAATAGAAATCACCTACACCTGGAAATCACCCACACCTGGAAATCACCCACACCTGGAAATCACCTACACCTGGAAATCACCTACACACGGAAATCACCTACACCTGGAAATCACTTACACACGGAAATCACCTACACCTGGAAATCACCTACACACGGAAATCACCTTCACCTGGAAATCACCTACATCGTGGAGTCCTGTAGCTCAGTGGTTAGAGCATTCGTTTTGCAAGCGAGAGACCTGAGCTCAATTCCAGGCAGAGGGCGAAACCTTGGGCAAGTTTCCTTACTCCACACAGAGCCTAATAATAATCCCTCCAAAACCAAAAACAATAATAAATTGGTCATTTTCAATCTACGTCTGTTTGTGGGACATTGCTGTGCGCAACTGGCTGCTGCGTTCGCCCACAAACATACAGTCAATTCACTTTACAGTGTGTTCTGTGAAGCGCTTTGGGACGTCCTCCCGACGTGAAAAGCGCTATATCAAATGCAAGGATTATTATTATTATTATTATTATCTGGAAATCACCTACACACGGAAATCACCTACACCTGGAAACCACCTACACACGGAAATCACCTACACCTGGAAATCACTTACACACGGAAATCACCTACACCTGGAAATCACCTACACACGGAAATCACCTACACCTGGAAATCACCTACACACGGAAATCACCTACACCTGGAAATCACCTACACATGGGAATCCCAGAGATATTTATTGGAATGGAATTCACACTCTTCCCCTGAAGGGATGCACCTATCTTACCTAACTCCGTAGAGTATTAAGTGCAGGTTGGCAAGAGCCAAGGCTTGGTGGGGACCCCAAAGTTTGCATTCGGGTAACTGCTGGAGTCTAACCAGCTACAACCACGTGGCTCGCTCATTGATATCATTGTCTGGTAAGCTTTCCCGCTGCTTGTCCAGTTAGGACCACCCAACCCATTAGGGTTTTGTCTGCAGGGTTAACAGGAGTTGAGGGGGCGGATTCCCTGCCCCCAGTGACTGGTCGGCCCTTCCAGGCCCTACTGATGAGCCAGGCCGGGCTGGACTGTCATCAGCAGTGAGTGCCCTGGAATACTGCGGACCCTCCTGGCTCAGGAACCGGATTGGAGAGCATCACAGAGGTTGGGCTCGATTCCCACATTCCGTTGCCAAGTGTGTCACCTTGGGGCCAGTTCAGCTCCGAGCAGACCCCATTTACTGACCCCCCCTCCACCCAGAGGATGTCACTGTGGAGCTTGACAGATCCCGGCGACGTCTAGATTCCAGTGATTCCCATTACAGATCTGCAGCCTCTCATTCCTACAGCCAACAATACAGCACAGAAAGTCGTTCAGCCATCGTGCCTTGAGTGATTCCATTCAGTCACATTTACCTGTCTTTACCTCTGAAATGGCTTCTTTAGATATCTATCTACTTCACCCTTCAAAGCTGGTATGGATTACGCCTTAACCACTACACCCAGCAGGGCATTCCAAATCTTAACACTTCTTTGTAAACAAACACTTCTAATATGTCCTTTGCTGACGACTTGTAATCAATGTCCAGTCACTAGCTGACTAAACTGTGGAAATAATTTCTGACTATCCATTCTATCAAAATCCCTCTGAATTTTAAAAATCTCCCTTAGGTTTCACATTAGAATTCTCTATTCCAATGACAGCAGGTTCTGTTCCTCCAGTCTCTCCTCATCCCTCGTATTATCCTAGTAAACCTCCTCTGCACCCTACCCTCATCCACACCTTTGCCACTTCCCGGCTGGACTATTCCAACAACAACAACTTGGATTTATATAGTCCCCTCCAATACCATTCCAATGCCCTCCTTGCTGGTCTCCCCAACTCCACCATACACAAAATCCAATTAATTAAAAACTCCGCCTCCCGGATACTCACCCACACAAAATTCTGTCCCCCATCACCCGAGTCCTTGCCAGGCTCCACTGGCTGCCAATTATCGAACGAATCGACTTCAAGATCCTCTCACTTGTTTTCAAATCCCTTCATGCCCTCGCACCTCCCTAGCTCTCCAACCTGCTTAACCCCCACTCCACAACTCTCTGCCTCCGCTCAGCCAGCTCCAGTCTCCTTTCGTCCCTCGTCCCCTCCGCTCCACCATCAGTGGCTGTGCTTTCAGCCACTATGCCCCGAAACTCTGGAACTCCGTCCCTCAATCCCGCCCCCTTACTCCCTTCCTTCCAAATTTCAAATCCCGCCTAAGGACCTTCCTTTTTGATCGTGCTTGCAATCACCTCCCCCCTCCCTCTCCCCCCCGGCTTGGGGTCAGACCCCACTATCTTCAAACACTCTGGGATGCTAAACCACATGAGGGGCGCTATATAAATGCAAGCTGTTGTTGTTGATATTCTACCCAGGAACATACTTTTAGACACAGTAGATAAACGGCCCGGATCAAATCTCTCTTGTTTTTCAGTTTCTGTGTGTCCATGAGCCGATCCTGATACAGACCAAACTCCTTGTCCTCCATCGCAAAGCTCCGCACCGTCCGGATCCCAGAGACGGTCTCGGCAGCAAGCTCGCTGGAATAGGCGATGGAATCCTGCACCTGTGTCAGCAGTTTCTAATGTGGAGACATACACTGTGATGAGCATTCCCAAATAATCCCAGCCTTGAAGTCTCATCCTAAAAACATTCCTACGCTTGAAATCCCAAATACTTCAGGTGCTGGATTTCATTCCAATCATACCCAGTCCCTGAGTCCAAAACCAACATTTTCCAGTTGTTTTGTCTCATCCCAAACACTATCATTCCTGGATTCCCTTCCATATTGAATTCTCTAGTTACCAGAATGTTGACTGATTGAGGGCTCGGCTATTGGGTTGATGATGGTTGAGAGATGTTTTACACTCTGGTTACCTGGCAGTAACTGGTGAAATAGTGGTTACCTGTCAGTAACTGGTGACATAGTGGTTACCTGGCAGTAACTGGTGACATAGTGGTCACCTGGGAGTAACTGGTGACCTGTTGGTTACCTGGCAGTAACTGGTAAAATAGTGGTTACCTGGCAGTAACTGGTGATATACTGGTTACCTGACAGCAACTGGTGACCTACTGGTTATCTGGCAGTAGCTGGTGATCTGCTAGTTACCTGGCAGTAACTGGTGACCTGCAGGTTACCTGGCAGTAACTGGTTACCGGCTGGTTACCTGGCAGTAACTGGTGACCTGCAGGCTACCTGGCAGTAACTGGTGACCTGCTGGTTACCTGGCAGTAACTGGGACCTGCTGGTTACCTGGTGATATTGATTGTACAGTTTCTGGATTATTGCCGTCAGTGGTGTCTCGATCAAGGTGAGGAGGGTGAGCTGCCAGGACAGCGAGAACATGAAGGAAAGAATTCCAATCGTCTTAACCAGGCTCCTCAGGAGGACGTTGATGTTTAATGCGACGGAACGGCTCATGAGGGTGGTGTCCGTGGAGAGACGAGAGGTTATGTCACCTGATAACAAGCAAGAGGTGAGGTCACAGTCACAAGTTCACAAGATTGGGTTTTAATGAAAATGTTCCTGTGGCCCATGTGATCTTGTACCTCATCAGAGGATCAGCTGTTTATTAAGAAGCCCCGTGAGCCAGCCTCAACCACCCGTCCATACTGTCAATATGCTCATTACTGATAATGTAACTTACAATATATAGGATCCAAGAAGAGGAAACTTCCTTGTACTTGTCCTGAAATTGTCCGTTACAGCTCTAAACGTGTGTCCTCTTGTTCTACTCTCATAACACACACTAAAGTATTGATCTGTATTGAGGGTTTACTTTTTCATTCATATTTACAATTTTATCCACATCTGAGTCCCCTCTGACTTGTTCTCTCTCAAGATTGAGAGACTTTGACCTTCAATGGGTTTTCCTTTGTGCAGCAGAATTCATCAAGTTTCACCAGATTGTTCACCAACTATCACCCACTCACAGGGAATGTGATCTGCATTTAGACCATCATAATACAGGTTATATTTAACCTATTGATGATAGTAATATTTGTTGTAATAATAATCCAATGACCTCTTTCACTACTGATCTAGTTGTTGCTCACAGCTCATTCCTCTAACACTGGGGACCAGCCTCTCTGCTCTCACTGTCTCTAGGGCTTGGTCAACCCCTCCGTCATGGTGACCAGAACTGTCTGCAGTTCAAGGTGTGGTCTGAGCCGACACTGAACACTCTGAGAATAACAACTGCAACAAAATTACATGTGCCTTTTACGTTGGGAGAATGTCCCAAGGTGCTGGACAATCAGTGTTTCAGACCCGAGCTGGGGTTTGGGATTGGGGAGGGTTGAGGGCGGGGTGGGGGGGGGGGGGGAGGAGGGCGATTGAAGGCACTGTCAAGGGGGTGTGCCGGGCGGGGGAACTGGAGCAGGCCTGAGCCCACTGAGTGGAGGGAGCGAGCAAGTTGGCAGAGAGTTAGGAGTTTGCTGAGGTAGGGGGAGCAAGACCATGGAGAGCTTTGAAAGTGAGGACCAGGATCTTGAATTGTATCTTCTAATTGGAGGAAAGCCAGTGGAACCGGGCAAGGATGGGGGTGATAGGGTCGTGACTGATACGATGTCTGGGATCTAAACTGTAACTGATTTAGAAATATAGCCCAGCTTCCTTTTGCCTTACTTACTGCTGCTCACGTAGTTTTGACAAAGAGAGTGAATAATTAACTCATATTCCTTTCATCCCAGTTCTTGACAAGTTCATTCAGGTAGTCCTTGTGTGTTCTACATGTCGTACCAGCATTTATCAGTATTAAACTTCATTTGCCACTGATCAGTCCAATTGCTTACTCTGTCGAGCTCTTTGACAAACCTTTGCTGCCTCCTCTGATTCCACAGATTCCCCCAAACTTGATGTCATCTGCAAATTTAACTGTGTCTGTAAATCCAGGTTATTAACACTTCAGACCCCTGAGGCTTAGTACCACCAAAATTTGACTGAGGTCCCCAAACAGCGACCCACTGCTTCCTTCCCCTGTTTGCTTTAAGCATTTTGTGCCATTTAACCAAATAAATCAAATCGAGACTCAAACTCAGTAACACCAACAATAATAATATAATAATAATAATAATCCTTGCATTTGATATTGCGCTTTTCACGTCGGGAGGACGTCCCAAAGCGCTTCACAGAATATACTGTAAAGTGAATTGACTGTATATTTGTGGGTGAACGCGGCAGCCAATTGTGCACAGTAGTGTCCCACAAACAGTCGTGGATTAAAAATGACCAATTTATTATTGTTTTGTTTTGGAGAGATTATTATTAGGCTCTGTGTGGAGTAAGGAAACTTGCCAAAGGTTTTGCCCTGCCGGGAATTGAACCCACGTGTCTCGCTTGGAAGGCGAGTGCTCTAACCACTGAGCTACAGGACTCCACTACTAAATGGTATAGGGAATATTTCTAAATTATATAGGGAATATTACAAAATTATACAGGGAATATTACTAAATTGTATCGGGAACATATTACTATCTCTTACCGCCTTGTGATAATAGTGATGTGATAATAATTTATTATTGTTTGGAGTTTTGTTTGGAGGGATTATTATTAGGCGTGTGGAGTCAGGAAACTTGCCCAAGGTTTCGCCCGGCCTGGAATTGAACCCAGGTGTCTTGCTTGCAAAGCAAGTGCTCTAACCACTGAGCTGCAGGACTCCACATACTTTGAGGACAGGGAATGCGATCAGTGATCTCAGCAGGGGGAAGGAGGCACAGTGAAGTGGACGGGATTGGACAAAAATCGAGGAGGAATGAGCACAATGAAAAGGAATTATCAACAACATTAACAACAAAATTACATTTATATTGTGCCTTTCATGTCCCAAGGCACTGGACAATTGGAGCAAAGAGCTCCAGCAAAGGCACCCCTGGACTTCCCTGCGTCTAACCCTCACCCCCTCTTGTCCATCTTCAGATCACGCCTGAAGACTTCCCTCGTGAACTCAGCCTCTAGTCACCTCCCCTGCCCTCCAGCGCAGCGCCAAACTCCGCCACTACTAAATGCTCCAAGATAATACCCTGTGTGAAGGGTGCAAGTTGTTGTTTAAGGTGAATTGTCTCTCCTGCACCTTGGGACATCGTACTGACATGAAAAGCAGTAAATAAATGTAATGTGTTGTTGCTGTTGCTCCTTACTGAGACAATGAGGTATTGAGACTCTACTGCGGATCTCAGCTCCTCAACCTCCCTGGGCTCTTCCTCACACTCACTGAACCAATGCGCAATCTAGGCATCCAGTTTGACCCCCAGCTGTCCTTCCTCCCCCACATCCAGTCTCTGACCAGGAACCGCCTTCTTCCACATTTGCCACATTGCCCGTCTCCAACCCTACCCCAAATGCAGCTGAAACTGCTGTCCTGACAGACTGACTGTCGGACATCAAGACCTGGATGAGGGCAAATTTCCCACAGTTGAATGTGAACAAGATTGAGGCTCTCCTGATGGATTCGCGCCAGCGCCTCAGCAACTCAGGCTCTGGCAGCATCAACATCCATGGTTGCACACTTCAACTCATCAAGCCAGTCAAGAACCTAGGTGTCTTGTTCGACCCTCAACTGTCTTCTTCCCACATCCAAGTCATGACTTGCTCTCCCTTCCCTCACCTCCGTAACATCACCCGGCTCTGCCACCACCTCAACCCTCAGGCCGCTGAAACCCTTGTTGATGCCTTCATCACCTCCTTGACTATGCAAATGCCGTGCTTGTCGGCCTTCCCAACTCCTCCCTCCACAGGCTGCAGATAATCCAGAACACTGCAGCCCATGTCCTCTCCAACCCCAAACTCTGTGACCCCATTTCCCACATTCTCGCCCAACTCCATTGGCTCCCTATCCTTCAGGGGATCCAGTTCAAGATCCTGGTCCTCACCTACAAAGCCCTTGATGGCCTCGCCCCACCTTACCTCTGTGACTTCCTAACCCCCTACCAACCTACCCGCTCCCACCACTCAGCCGTCTCTGGCCTACTCCACGTCCCCCGACCCACCCGCCCACCATTGGCAGGAGAGCCTTCAGCCACTCTGCGCCCAACCTCTGGAATTCCATCCCCCAATCACTCCGCCTCGCCCCTTCCTTAGCCTCCTTCAAGACTCGCCTCAAAACCCTCCTCTTCGACCATGCCTTGTGGAGTCCTATAGCTCAGTGGTTAGAGCACTCACTTTGCAAGCGAGAGACCCGAGTTCAATTCCAGGCAGAGGGCGAAACCTTGGGCAAGTTTCCTTACTCCACACACCTAATAATAATCCCTCCAAAAAACTAAAAAACAATAATAAATTGGTTATTTTCAATCTACAACTGTTTGTGGGACATTGCTGTGCGCAATTGGCTGCCGCGTTCGCCCACAAATATACAGTCAATTCACTTTACAGTGTGTTCTGTGAAGCGCTTTGGGACGTCCTCCTGACGTGGAAAGCGCGATATCAAATGCAAGGATTATTATTATTATTATTATTATTATTATTATTATTATTATTATTATTATTATTATTATTATTATTATTATTATTATTATTATTATTATTATTATTATGCCATCGGTCACCCCCACTTCCCCTCCACTCCCTTCTCCCTCCCTAACCCCAGCTCGAGTCTGAATTGCTGTCACTGTCCACCGCTTTGGGACGTCCTCCCGATGTGAGAGGGGCTACACAAATCTAATCCTGTTGTTGTTGCTGTTGAAACCCTCGTGCATGTGTTTGTGAAATCCCTTCACTCTTTGGCACCTCCCTACCTCTCCTCCCTCCCTCCCTCCCTCACTCCCTCACTCACTCACTCACTCACTCCCACCTACTCACACTCTCCCATCCTCGCTCTACGACCTCCTCACTCCCCAATCCACCACTATATAAGTGCAAGTTGTTTGTTGTTGTCTCTTTTCCTCACAGAGCTTGGGTGGTAGTAGGTGACGGAGATACTCTGTGCAGAAGCCTCACCTGTTCGCGTCGATTCGAAGAAGGCGATTTCCTGGTGAACGATGGAGCCAAAGAGCTGCCCCCGGAGACGCTTGACAAATCTGGACAATGTCAACATGAAGAGCCCTCCCCTCAGGCCGGCAGCAATGGAACTGCAACACAACGTCATGTGGATATTCAGTCACTGATTATAATAGCAACAACGACAACTTACACTTATACAGTGCTCTCCACAATGGGCAATGTCCCACACACACTCCACCCACACACTGTCCGTCCAACACACACTGTCCCCCACACACTGCCCCCCACGCTGCTCCCGCCACGGTGCGTATGAGGGGGGGCAGGGTGAGGGGGGCAGGGTGAGGGGGGGCAGTGTGAAGGGGGGCAGTGTGAAGGGGGGCAGTGTGAAGGGGGGCAGTGTGAGGGGAGGCAGTATGAGGCGGGGGGCAGTGTGTGGGGGCAGTGTGTGGGGGTAGTGTGTGGGGGCAGTGTGAGCAGGGGCCGTGAGAGGGGAGCAGTATGAAGGGAGGGGGGGCAGTGTTGGGGGAAGAGGAGGAAATGATCACCTTCCCATGGACGTCAGGAACATGCAGGAAATCGCTGTCATGAAGATCTGCTGATCGTAGTGAGCGGAGAGGACATCGATCACCCGCCCCGTGTAATAGGGCCCAAACATCTCACCTGTAAATACAGAAAGAGATCGTCACCGGGATGAGGGAGGGAAACTGAGAGTCACTGGGGGAGAGACAGAGAGTCACTGGGGGGAGATGCAGAGAGTCACTGGGGGAGAGTGACACACTGATATCCATGGGAGGGTGAAGACACCTACAGTTATTGAGGGAGAGGAAGAGGGTCAGGGGCACAGCCAGTGAGCATGCAAGAGACAGAGAGAGACAAAGACATGATACCACTTTATAACAACAACTTGCACTTGTACAGCGTCCTCCACACAGGGCAGTTGGCAGAGCCTGACTCCGAGCCGGGGGTGGTGGGGCGTGGATGTGGGAAGTGGCCGTAAGCACGGTCGAAGAGGAAGATTTTCAGGTGGGATTTGAAAAAGGGGAGAGAGGGAGCAAGGTGGAGGGATTGAGGGAGATTGTTCCAGAGTTTCAGGGCGCAGTGTCTGAAAGCGATGGTGGGGCAGAGGGTGCGAGGGACAAGCAGGAGCTGGTGTCAGTCAAGTGAAGGCGCTGACCGTGTGATGGATTGGGGAATGAGGAGGTCGGGGGGAGGGTGGTCGGGGCGCGGGAGGTTGGGGGGAGGGAGGGAGGTGCCAGAGAGTGAAGGGATTTGAACACAAATGAGAGGATCTTGAAGTCGATCTGTTTGGTGATGAGGAGCCAGTGGAGCCTTGGCCAGACCTGGTGAGATGTGGGGACAGAGTTTGGTTCGGGTCAGTATAGGAGTGGCAGAGTCTGAATAAGCCGGATTTTGTGAATGGTGGAGCTGGGGATACGGGCGAGGAGAGAACTGCAGTAATCTAGGCGGGAGGTGGCAAACGCATTCACGAGGGTTTCGGCTGCATTTGGGGTAAGGTACGGTCGGAGGCGGGTAATGTGGCGAAGGTCACTTTACTCCTACTTAGCACTTTGAGATGTCTCCACAATATGGTGAGACGCTCTATCAAATACCAGCATTATTATTATTATTATTATCATTTGTCTCATTTGAACTTGATCCATGAACAGGAGACGTTATTGGAAGAGATGAAGCTACTCACCAATAACTGCCAGTGTGAGGAAGATAAACGCTCCACTGAGAGGGATGGCGTCCGGCCGGGAGTAAGAGAGGAGTCGGCCAAGGGTGGCTTTGGCCGTGTCCTTGTCGCTGGTCTGTCCGGGAGCCGAGGGCCGTTCAGGGCGGAGCTGCTCGAAATCAGTGGGGAACAGTGTCTCCCCAGCAATAATAGCGAAGGCTGAGAGAGCGTGAAGCAGTGCCCAGCAGCCGGGGATGGAGATCAGAGCCTGTGTGTCTGACAGCAACAGCCGGACACTGCCATAGAGAGGGACGAGGAGACACACACACACAGCAAACAGCAGCCGCTGCCAGCCCCCGCCTCTCCCTCCCGAGCTGGACACGAGATCCAGAGACAGCACCAGGCTGCTCAGTAAGGCCAGTCTGAGGAGACCTCCCAGCCAGCAGCCCAGCAAACTGCCCCAACCCAGAGACAGGAACCAGGCCGAGCGCTGCAGCAAAGCTCCCAACACCAGGTCACAGGCTGACACAGGCAGCAGCCACCCACACCAGCTCACAGCCATCCTGCCACAGGTCATAGACAACCACAGAGACACACACAGACACACACACACACACACACAGACACACACCGAGCCACACACAGACACACAGAGCCACACACAGAGCCACACACAGACACTGGGTTGCGCTGTTTAATTCAAGCTCAGGCTGGTGTCTTGCTCGGGGTCTGATCAATCTTCTCACTTCAGATGAAAAACTTCTGAGAAAAGAGGAAAAAAATCAATAAACAAGAGTCTTGTTGACCCCTCCCACCTGTCCCTGTCCTCATGCTTGTCCTAGTGGGTGGGGGGAAGGTGGGGTGTGGGTAAGGTGGGAAAGGTGTGTGGGGGGGGAAGTTGGGAAGGGTTTGAGAAGGTTGGGGGGAGGATGGGTTGGCAGGATGGGTGTTTAGGCGGGGATGGGTGAGTGGGGAGGATTGGGGGGGGTTATGAGGTGGGGGTGGGTGGGGATGGGAGGGTGGAGTGGGTGGGGACGTTGCAGGGAGGTTGTGGGGATGGTTGTGGGAGTTTGGAGGGAGGTTGGGAGGAGTTTGGGGGCGGTTGGAAGGAAAGTCTTTCATTTGAACATCTTGGATTTGGATTTTTGGAAAAGCTCATCACACGCTGTCTGACACTTGGGAAACCAGACACCGGGATCATCAGACACCCGACTGGTCACGGTGATGGGTTTCTGTGTGTGTCAGACACCCGGCTGATCACGGTGACGGGTTTCCGTGTGTCAGACACCCGGCTGATCACGGTGACGGGTTTCCGTGTGTCAGACACCCGGCTGATCACGGTGACGGGTTCCTGTGTGTCAGACACCACCCCGGTCCGCAGACCGGATGCCCATTCAGTGTGTGAAGCGCTTTGAGACATCGTCCCGATGTGAAATGCGTTACACAGTGTAAATGTAAATTACTGATATATTTTTGGGGAGTGAGTGGTTAAACACCTCTTGTCACTGGAGGGAGTGAATAGCTCACTATATGCAGTGGTTCAGGTCTTTGGGTGTCAAATACAGGCTGAAGTTAGCAAACTGGGTTTGCAGTTAATAAGTACAATAATTACAATAAAACTGAATAATGTGCAGAGATCGCTGAAGGTGGCAACGCAGCAGATACACTGAGAAAAGGTAAACAGAGCCTTTGGTTTGTGAGTGGAGGCTCCTGTATAAAGTGAGGGCAGGAATGAACTGGTGAGAGAGGGCGCTGTGAGGGGCTGAGCTGAGGAGTGAAGGAGACCTGGATCGAGACCTGGTCTGACAGGGTGATTAATACAATAAATTATCTCTCTATGTCACTTGAACTTTAAATTTTCACACTGAATCAGTGAGAATAAAATAATAATTATTCGGCTTATGGTCTTTCTGGTCAGGAGGATGTTTCAATTTGTGCACAGAGACATCCCACAAAGTGAATGAGTGATTTTTATTTTCTGCCACAAACTGAAGTTCATACAGAATCCATCAATTCTTTTAAAGGGAATACAATACAGAATGACATTTACACAGCGCCTTTCACATCGGAAGGACGTCCCATCGGGAGGCACTGGACAGTCAGGGATTTGGACCCGAGCTGGGGATGGAGGACAGGAAGGGTGGGGGTAGGAGGGTGGCCAAAGGCTTGGTAAAGCAGGCAAGAGATTGGGCGGGGGGGGGTGCAAAGGGAATGTGGGATGGAGTTCCAGAGGGTGGGGGCAAAGAGACTGAGACTGAAGGCCCGAAGGACAATGTGGGGGGAAAGGGGGTCGAGTGGGGGATGTGAAGCAGGCCAGAGCCCGCTGAGGGGAGGGAGCAGACAGGTTGATATGGGGTCAGTTGATATGGGAATGAACTGGTGTTTGATGACAAGTGTGTGTTGGGGAGGGGGGAGACTGTGTGTGGGTGAGTGAGGGAGAGAGAGTGTGAATATGTAGGCGGAGGTGTATTGTGTGTGTGGAATGTGTGTGTGTGTGTGGAACCTATGTGTGTGGGGGGTGTGTGTGTCTGTGGGTGGAGGTGTGTGGGAGGGGTTGTGTGTGTGTAGGGATGAGTGTGGGGAGTGTGTGTGGAGTGTAGGGGGTTGAGGGGGTTGGACGTGTGTATATAAGTGAGATGTATGTGTGTTGGTGAGTGTGGGGGAGGAGGCTGTGTAGGGGTGTGTGGGATGTGTGTACGTTCTGTATGGGGGGGTTGTGTGTGTGGTGTATGTGTGTAGGGGGGAGTGTGTGCGTGTATGTCGGGTGTATGTGTGTGGGGGAGGTTGTGTATGTGGTTTGTGTGTAGGGTGTAGTCTGTGTGTGTATATGTCGGGTGTATGTGTGTGTGGGGAGGGGGTGTTTGTGTGGGTGTGTGTGTGTGGGAAGGCGTGTAGGGGGGTGGATCCTCTGGCTCAGACTGAAGGGGGAAATCATCTGGTTTCTGTGATAAACTATAACCCTTTGACCCGCTTCAGTTCACACAGAGAGCTGTGGGTTCCCTTTTGACTGAATTAATCACATCAGAATTTCCCTGAATACATTTCCAGGAATTCAATGCTCCCAACAGATCAGTAGCGGTTTAACACAGTCCCACACACACTAACCGACAGAAATACACAGAGACACAAACAGACATATACACACACTGACATACACACAGAGACAGATATATACACACACACAGACGTACACAGAGAAAGACACACACAGACATATACAAACACACAGACATATACACACACTGACATACACACAGAGACACACACACAGATATACACACACCCTCCCCCTCCCCTGTACTTACAGGTAAAAGCCGCCGCGATCTTAAGCCACAGCAGCTCATAAATACAGATCAGGTCTCTGTCTCTATCTCTCTCTGTCTCTCTCTCTCTCTATCTCTCTCTCTCTGTATCTCTCTATCTCTCTCTGTATCTCTCTATCTCTCTCTGTCTCTCTCTCTCTGTATCTCTCTGTCTCTCTCTCTCTTTCTCTCTCTTTCTGTCTCTATCTCTGTCTCTGAAGCTCAGTCTCTGAGCATCTCTCGATGTCAGTTTCTCTTTCTCTTTCCGGGGGCTCTCTCTCTCTCTCTCTCGTTCTCTCTCTCTTTCTCTCCAGTAAACGGCGCTGTTGGTCTTTCTCTGTTTCTGTCTCTTTCTCTCTCACTGTTTCTGTGTCTCATTTCGGTTTCGAGTTGAGAGACTGAGAGGGGGATTTCCAGAGCGGCCGCGTCTACACCTCCTCAAAGCAACTGTTAAACATCTTCACCAGGGAGTGTACACAGCCTCCTCCACCGTGTACACAGCCTCCTGCACCGTGTACACAGCGTCCTGCTCACTACACAGCCTCCTGCACCGTGTACACAGCCTCCTGCACCGTGTACACAGCCTCCTGCACCGTGTACACAGCCTCCTCCACCGTGTACACAGCCTCCTGCACCGTGTACACAGCCTCCTCCACCGTGTACACAGCCTCCTCCACCGTGTACACAGCCTCCTCCACCGTGTACACAGCCTCCTGCACCGTGTACACAGCCTCCTGCACCGTGTAAACAGCCTCCTCCACCGTGTACACAGCCTCCTCCACAGTGTACACAGCCTCCTCCACCGTGTACACAGCTCCTGCTCACTACACAGCCTCCTGCACAGTGTACACAGCTCCTGGATACAGGTAATTAGTAACTGTTATTCTGGTAGTTAGTGGAGTCCTGTAGCTCAGTGGTTGGAGCAGTCACTGGACCTGGGTTTGATTCCGGACCGGCGAAGGTTGGACAAGTTTCCTCACTCCACACACCTCTTTACCACCAGTAACTAGAAACTCAATTGTTAGACAATTGTGAATGGCTTTTCCGAGTCAATAATTCCTTAACAAAAAAGTGGTCACTCAGTCCACGACTGTTTGTGGGACACTGTTTATGTAATTGACTGCCGCGATTTGCCCACAAAAATATACAGTGAATACACTTTACAGTATGATAAGGCGCTATATCAAATGCAAGGATTATTGTATTATTAGTGCTGTTTATGTCAGTAACCATTACTCTGTTAGTTAAGAGCTGTTTGTCAGTAACTATTACTCTGGTAGTTGGAGGTGTTTGTCAGTAACTATTACTCTGTTAGTTAGAGCTGTTTGTCAGTAACTATTACTCTGGTAGTGGGAGGTATTTGTCAGTAACTATTACTCTGGTAGTTAGAGCTGTTTGTCAGTAACTATTACTTTGGTAGTTGGAGGTATTTGTCAGTAACTATTACTCTGGTAGTTAGAGCTGTTTGTCAGTAATCTTTGTTCAGGCTGTGGATTCCCGGAAAGCCAGACTGTCAGTCTGTGACTGGTCACAGCTCTGAGCTGATACCCGGCTCCGCTCCTGACTTCACAGTAACTAATTCTCTTTTACTTCCAATAAATTTATATTTCAGAGATTATCACAGAAGCGCAGCCCCTCCTTATAATTCACCTCCAGTCTGAGATTCAGTTCGATGCTGGAAAGAGTTTCCTTCAGATGAAAAGCCGATTTTAACTCACCCGAATTCTGGGTCAGGAGGTCACGACTGTGAACCCCAGACTCTGAGCCCCAGACAGTGAGCCCCAGACTCTGAGCCCCAGACAGTGAACCCCAGAAAGTGAACCACGGACAGTGAACCCTAGAAAGTGAACCCCGGCCTCTGAGCCCCGGGCTGTGAGCCCCAGACAGTGAGACGCAGACAGTGAGCCCCAGACAGTGAGCCTCGGCATATGAGCCACAGACAGTGAGCCCTGGCCTGTGAGCCGCAGACATTGAGCCGCAGACAGTGAGCCCCGGCCTGTGAACCCCGGACAGTGAGCCCCAGACAGTGAGCCCCGGCCTGTGAACCCCGGACAATGAGCCCCAGACAGTGAGCCCCGGCCTGTGAGCCCCGGACAGTGAGCCCCAGACATTGAGCCCCGGCCTGTGAACCCTGGACAGTAAACCCCAGAGTGTGAGCCCCAGACTGTGAGACCCAGACTGTGAGCTCACAGCCCAGGCTGACCCACAGCGCACTCTCCCTTCCCCACCAGCTACAGGAGATGAGAGGGAGTTTCTCCCAGTTTCCCATCCATCGCTCGATCCCCCCCAAAATACTCCGGACCTGAAGCTCCAGCTCGTTCAGGGCTTCCGTGTTTATCTACAAACAAGAGAAATATATAGATAGATATGTGTGTGTGTATATATGAGTGTATGTGTCTGTGTATGTGAGTGTCTGTGCATGAGTGTGCGTGTGTGTTTGTCTGTAAGTCTGTGTCGGTGTATATGTGGTGTGTCTGTGTGTATATTTTTTTGTGGAGTCCTGTAGCTCAGTGGTCAGAGCACTCACTTTGCAAGCGAGACATCTGGGTTCAATTCCAGGCAGGTCAGGGCCAAACCTTGGGCAAGTTTCCTTACTCCACACAGAGCCTAATAATAATCCCTCCAAAACCAAAAACAATAATAAATTGGTCATTTTCAATCTACGACTGTTTGTATGACATTGCTGTGCGCCATTGGCTGCCGCGTTCGCCCACAAATATACAGTCACTTCACTCGCAGTGAGAATCAGAGGAAAGTATCTGCGAGGCGTGGCAGGGAGGGCAGAGGAGCCGGTTAGTGGTGGAGAACAGGAGCCTGGAGTTGCCCTTCATCTCCAGGATTAACCTGGAATAGAAGGATGATTTGGCTGAGGCAAGTGCGGAGCGGTAGGTCTTGATGAGGTCCAGGCAGATGTGGCGGTAGACCGTTAGGCTGGATTTGAGCCAAGTGTGTTCAGCAGCCCGCACCTGGCCCTTAAGGGAGCGGAGGTAGCTGGTGAACCATGGTGAGGATTGGGAATAGAAGGCAGTTCGGGAGTGAGGGGAGGTAAGGACGTCGAGTGTGGTGGAGAGGGTGCAGCGAATGGGTTGGTACGAGAGGTGGGCCAGAGGAGGAGGAGTTCAGAGGACTCCAGGGCAGCGGAGAGGGATTGCGCGGAGATCTTCTTCCACGGGCGGTAGAAGATGATGGTAGGTTTGGAGGCAGTGGGGAGAGGGATATGGGAGTTGAGGGAGACAAAATGGTGGTCAGAGATGGCCTTGTCAGTGATGGTGAAATCCGAGACACTGGAGTCCTGTAGCTCAGTGGTTAGAGCACTCGCTTTGCAAGCGAGAGACCTGAGTTCAATTCCAGGCCGGGCGAAACCTTGGGCAAGTTTCCTTACTTAATAATAATCCCTCCAAAACAAAACAATAATAAATTGGTCATTTTCAGTCTACGACTGTTTGTGGGACATTGCTGTGCGCAATTGGCTGCCGCGTTCGCCCACAAATATACAGTCACTTCACTTTATAGTGTGTTCTGTGAATCTCTTTGGGACATCCTCCCGACGTGAAAAGCGCTATATCAAATGCAAGGATTATTATTATTATTATATGTGTGTGTGTCTGTATATATGTGTCTGTGTATATGTATGTGTGTGTCTGTGTGTGCATTTGTGTCTGTGTGTATATATATATGCATGTGTATGTGTATACTTTATAATAAACATGTGAGATGTTTCTCTGTTAGACGGTTTATAATGATTATTGTGCTCCAGGCTGTGATATTAGTAATGATTGTTATTTATTGTTGTGTTTCAGACTGTGATAATAATAATGATTATTGTTGTTGTTGTTGTGCTCTAGGCTGCGGAATGAAGGCCGCCTTTGCTCAGGCTTTGCTGTTGCTGCCGCTGCTGGACTTGGCAGCGAGTTCTCTACTGGACTTGGTACTGAGACAGACCTTCTCCCCCATCTCCCTGACCGGCCTGTGGGTGGCCTCCCTGCTCCGCTTCACTGTCCTGTCGGCCGCGGTGCGGGGGGCGCTGGTCCGACTCCCCGGCCGCCCGGCCTGGCTGCGGCTCCAAGACCTGCACCGGTTCACGGGCATCGTGTGTCTGATCATCCCGTTGTACCTGAGCCTTGGCCCCCCGGTTCCCACCCCGGCCGTGGCTCCTGCCCCAGCCACGGCCCCTGCCACGGCCCCCGCCACTGAACTGCTGTGCGGGAGCGGGAGTTGGCGGCTGCTGGTCCCGGCCCATCTGGTCACGGCTCTGGCCTGTGTGATTTGGCGTCGCTTCTTCCCAGAAGAGGAGGAGGAGGAGGCGGGGGAGGGGGAGGAAGATGGGGAGGGCGGCCCACGGGCTGGAGCCACACTGTCCCGGCTACTGTCCTGTATCAGACCAGACTTCGGCCGCTTCGGGCTCATGTCCGTCTTCCTGGTGCTATCGTCCCTGGGTGAGAATCACAAGCTCCGGGGGTGTGGTGGGGGGGGTTGGCGATGGGGGCTGTGTGTGAGGGCTGTGTGTGAGGGCTGGGGGGCGAGGGGGGCTGTGTGTGAGGGCTGGATTTGGGGTGGTGTGGGGGTGGGGGGTGAGGGTGGGGGCCGGGGGGGTTTCGGACACTCAGTGACTCTGGTCTCCCACAGGAGAGATGGCTGTCCCCTATTACACCGGCCGCATGACTGATTGGCTGAACAACAGGGAGAATCCCTCAGCTTTCACAGCCGCCATCATCACCATGGCTCTGATCTCCATCGGAAGGTATGCAGAGAGTCTGGGGATACAGGGGTTAACGTCAGATTGGGGTGTCACACACACACAGTGCTCACACTCACACACACACACACACACACAGGGACTGTCTCACACACACAGTGCTCACTCACACACACAGGGACTACTCACACTCACACACAAACACAGTGCTCACACACACAGGGATTGCTCTCTCTCTCACACACACACACACACATACACACAGTGTCTGCTCACACACACAGTGACTGCTCACACACATACATAGTGACTGCTCACACACACAGTGACTGCTCACACACACTGATTGCTCACACACACACACACACTGACCGCTCACACTCACACAGTGACTGCTCACACTCACACACTCAGTGGCTGCTCACACACACAGTGACTCGTCATACACATACAGTGTCTGCTCACACTCATACACACTGCTCACACTCGTGTGAGTGACAGGTCTCACACACAGTGACTGCTCACACACACAGTGACTGCTCACACACACACTGACTCACACACAGTCTCTCACACACAGTGACTCTCACACACATTGATTTTCTCATACACTGTCTCTCACACACACAAACTCTCTCACAGTGATTCTGTCTCTCACACTGACTCACACTCTCTCTCACACTCAGTGCGGTGACGGAGTTTCTATGTGACGCTATATACAATGTCACTATGAGCCGGATTCACACTCGTATTCAGAGCAACGTTTTCCGCTCCGTTTTGCACCAGGACATCGGGTTCTTTGACGCGGTTCATACGGGTAAGTGAACACGGTGGGTGGGGGGAGTGGGTCGAGCTGGGGGCGGGGTCAGGTGGGGGAGGGGCCGGGCTGGGTGGGGGGGTTTGCGAGCTGGGTGCCCTACTCGCTCTCTCGCTTCTCTCCCTCTTACATATTTTCTTTCTCACGTTCTCTCTGTGATAAGGCCATCTATAGCCTCACCCCCTCTTTCCTCTCTGACCTGCTGACTCCCTACCAACCTGCCCACTCCTCCGTTCACTGGGCTCCGGCTGCTCCATGTCTCCCGCCCGACCCGCCCTCCCATCGGTGGCCGAGCTTTCAGCCTCTCTGCCCCCACACTCTGGAACTCCATTCCATGGTCCCCTCCCCTCGCTTCCTCCCTCACCTCCTTCAAGGCCGGTCTCAAGACCCTTCTCTTGACCGTGCCTTTGGTCTCCCTCCCACCTCTCTGCCTTCCCTCACCCCTACACCAACCCACCCCTCCCCTCCCCCTACCCCTCCCCTCCCCCATGCTCGGGCTTTGGGACATCCTCCCAATGTGAAAGCGCTCTATAAATGTCATTTTGTTGTTGTTGTTGATAATGAGGAGAAATGGAGCTCTCCCCCTCTTTCTCTCGCTCTCTCTGTCTCCCTCTCACACACACTCTCTCTCTCCAGGAGACATCACCTCTCGGATCACCACAGACACTAACACGATGAGCGAGGCCCTGTCAGACCGGCTCAGTTTGCTGCTCTGGTACCTGATGCGGACTCTGTGTCTGTTTGGGTTTATGCTCAGTCTGTCCGGGCGCCTCTCCCTGTTCACAGCCATCGGCATCCCCATCATCCTGCTCATCCCTGACCTCGCAGGTGGCTTCTACCAGGTACACCCCGAGAGAGAGAGAGTGTGAGAGAGGGGGAGAGAGTATGTGAGAGCGAAGGTGTGAGTATGTGAGAGCGAGGGAGTACGAGAGAGAGTGAGAGAGAACGCGTGAGAGAGAGGGAGTGCAAGTGTGTGTGACAGAGTGAGAGAGAGAGGAAATGTGAGAGAGAGTGGGAGTACGAGAGAGTGAGAGAAAGTGTGAGGGAGAGAGTGTGTGAGCGTGAGGGAGAGAGTGAGAGAGAGAGAAAGAGTGCGAGAGAGTGAGTGAGAGAGAAAGACTGAGAGTACGAGAGAGACCGTGTGAGAGCGAGTGAGAGAGTGAAAGAGACTTCTCACCAGACACTCACGCTTCACCTCACCTCTCTCTCCCACACTCACATTCACACTCTGTGTCACACTCACTCTCCCTCTCACACTCTTTTTCTGTCTCACTCACACTCTCTCTCACAAGCTCTCTCTCTCTCTCACTCTCTCTCTCACACTCTCTCACACTCCCTCTCTGTCTGTCTCACTCTCACACTCTCTCACAGGCTCTCTCTCTCTCACTCTCTCTCTCACACTCTCTCTCTCTGTCTCACTCTCACACTCTCTCTCTCACACTCTCTCTCTCTGTCTCACTCTCACACTCTCTCACAGGCTCTCTCTCTCACACTCTCTCTCTCTGTCTCACTCTCACACTCTCTCTCACACTCTCTCTCTCTCTCACTCTCTGTCTCACTCTCACACTGTCTCACACTCTCTCTCTCTGTCTCTCTCTCACACACTCTCTCGCTCTCTCTCTCTCTCTCTCTCTGTCTCACTCTCACACTCTCTCACAGGCTCTCTCTCTCTCACTCTCTCTCTCACACTCTCTCTGTCTCACTCTCACACTCTCTCTCTCACACTCTCTCTCTCTGTCTCACTCTCACACTCTCTCACAGGCTCTCTCTCTCACACTCTCTCTCTCTGTCTCACTCTCACACTCTCTCTCACACTCTCTCTCTCTCTCACTCTCTGTCTCACTCTCACACTGTCTCACACTCTCTCTCTCTGTCTCTCTCTCACACACTCTCTCGCTCTCTCTCTCTCTCTCTGTCTCACTCTCACACTCTCTCTCTCACTCTCTCTCTCTGTCTCAGTCTCACACTCTGTCTCACACTCTCTCTCTCTGTCTCTCTCTCACACACTCTCTCGCTCTCTCTCTCTCTGTCTCAGTCGCTCTCACACTCTCTCTCTCACTTTCTCTCTCTGTCTCACTCTCACACTCTGTCTCACACTCTCTCTCGCTGTCTCACTCTCACACTCTGTCTCACACTCTCTCTCTCTGTCTCAGTCTCACACTCTGTCTCACACTCTCTCTCTCTGTCTCTCTCTCACACTCTCTCTCTCTCTCTCTCTCTGTCTCACTCTCACACTCTCTATCTCACTCTCTCTCTCTGTCTCACTCTCACACTCTGTCTCACACTCTCTCTCTCTGTCTCACTCTCACACACTCTCTCTCTCTCGCTCTCTCTCTCACTCTCTCTCTCTGTCTCACTCTCACACTCTCTCTCTCTCTCTCTCTCTGTCTCACTCTCACACTCTCTCTCTCTCTCTCTCTCTGTCTCACTCTCACACTCTGTCTCACACTCTCTCTCGCTGTCTCACTCTCACACTCTCTCTCTCCCAGGCTCTCTCGGCTGAGGTACAGACCTCTCTGGCGGCTGCGAGCCAGGTTGCTATGGAGACCTTCTCTGCGATGCGGACGGTGAAGAGTTTGGCCGGAGAGGAGAGCGAGACCCGGCGATACCGACACCGACTGCAGCTCAGCTTCCAACTCAACCAGAAGGAGGCAGCGGCGTACGCAGGGTTCATGTGCCTGACCAACGTAGGTCACTCTCCCTCCCTCCCTCCCTCCCTGTGTGTGTGTGTCTGTCTGTGTACTCTCTCTCTCCCCCCCCAGCCCCCCGTCACACACTCTCTCTCCCCCCACCCCCCCTCCTCACTCTCACACTCTCTCTCTCTCTCTCTCTCTCCGCAGCTCTCCGGCCTGGCTCTCAAGGTGGCTGTGCTGTGCTATGGGGGGCAGCTGGTGGCCTCGGGGGTTGTGACCAGTGGTGACCTCGTCTCCTTCATCCTCTACGAGATGCAGTTCACGTCGGCCGTTGAGGTGGGAGCGCGGTTTGGGGGGGCAGAGTGTGTATGTGATGGGGGAGGGGTGGGTGGGGGGGAAGCTCTATTACATGCTGCTGCATTACAGACCCTATATTACAAGCTGCTGTATTACAGACCCTATATTACAAGCTGCTGTATTACAGGCCCTATATTACAAGCTGCTGTATTACAGACCCTATATTACAAGCTGCTGTATTACAAGTTACTCTATCAGAAGTTGCTCTGTTGCAGGTGCTGATCTCTGTTTACCCGAACGTACGAAAGGCTGTCGGAGCCTCTGAGAAGGTGTTTAATTACATGGATCGGGAACCAGCGCTGCCCCCACCGGGGACTCTGGCTCCGAAAACCTTACGCGGTCACATTGAGTTCAGGGACGTGACTTTCTGTTACCCACAGAGAGCAGACGCTCCGGTGCTGAAGGTAACGGCGGCTGTGATTCCCGTCTGCTCCGTGTCAGGTCTGAGTTGGAGCAGCGAGTGAACGAATCCCGATCAATTTCTCTCTTACAGAAAGTCTCGTTCGAGCTGCGTCCGGGGGAGATCACGGCGCTGGTGGGAGCCTCGGGCAGCGGCAAGACCTCATGTGTGTGTCTCCTCAAGAGGTTTTACCAGCCACAGTCCGGCCAGATCCTGCTGGACGGGAGGCCCATCGAGGAATATGAACATCGCTATTATCACAAGGCGGTAAGAGAGAGCAATGATAATAGAAGTGACTAAAGTGACAGGTCCAGGACAAGGAAACATTTACTGGGGTATGGGGAGAAAGAGCCGGGGAATGCGACTGATCCACGGCTGTTTGGGGGGACATTGTAGTCCGCAATTGCTGCCGTGTTTCCCCCCCAAAATACACAGTCACTACGCTTTACAGTATAACATCTGAAGCGCTTTCAGACGTCTCGAAGTTGTGATAAGGCACTATCAAGCATAAGGATTATTTTTATTATTGTTATTGATAGCGTAGCTCTTCCAAAGAGCCGGCACAGGCTTGATGGGCTGAATGGGCCTCCTTCTGTGCTGCAATACTCTATGTATTGTATGTAATAATTCTTGCAGTTGATACAACATCTTTATCATATTGATGAAACATCTCAAAGATCTTCACTGGACTTTACTATAATGTAGCGACAGCTAATTTGTGCATATCCCACACACACAGCCATGAAGTGCAACCAGTGTTATTTGTGGGATTGTTAGCCAGACCCTGTGAGAAACTTTATTTAATTTACCAACAGTGTTATGTAATCTTTAACGTCTTTCTGAACAGGTGAATGGAACCTTATTTAACCTGCCAGCTTCACAAACAATTTCCTTTTTCTTCTAACTAATCCTTAGGCTTCAGCCAGATTTTTAAATTATCCTAAATTATATTAATTCTATTGGTCTAATGAATTCCATTGAATTCTGTCAGTTCTATATTATAATATACACTATTATTGTACTATAATGTAGCCTGTGTATCCAGTAATTATGTAGCCCATGTATACAGTTATGGGCTCTGTATATCCAGCAATAGACCATGTTTACAGCAATACACTGTGGCTATGTTTCCACTGATGGTGAAGGCCTGTGTGTCAGGGCTGTGTGTACACTGATGGTGAAGGCCTGTGTGTCAGGGCTGTGTATCTGATAATAATAATAATAATAATCCTTGCATTTGATATTGCGCTTTTCATGTTTTCTCGACGTCTCAAAACATTTCACAGAATAGACTGTAAATTGACAGTATATTTGTGGGCGAAACGCGGCAGCCAATTGTGCACAGCAGCGTCTTTCCCACAAACAGTGGTGGATTGAAAATGACCAATTTATTTTTGTTTTATTTTGGAGGGATTATTATTAGGTGTGTGGAGTAAGGAAACTTGCCCAAGATTTGGCCCGGCCTGGAATTGAACCCAAGTGTCTCGCTTGCAAAGCGAGTGCTCTAACCACTGAGCTACAGGACTCCACTGATGATGGTGACGGCCTGTGTGTCTGGGCTGTGTATCTGTTGATGGTGATGGCCTGTGTGTCTGGGCTGTGTGTTTGATGATGGTGATGGCCTGTGTGTCTGGGCTGTGTATACGCTGATAGTGACGGCCTGTGTTTGGCTGTAGGTGGCTCTGGTCAGTCAGGAGCCCACGCTGTTCGCTCGCTCTGTGCAGAGGAACATCGCCTATGGCCTGCGGGATGCCTCACTGGGAAAGGTCATCAATGCGGCCAAGTGCGCAAATGCTTCCGGCTTCATCTCCGAGCTCAAGGACGGCTACAATACCGGTCAGTAAGAGGATTGGGAATTTAGGGCAATATAGTAAACACAGGGCTGAGGGTGACACAGAGAGGAATGGACATAGGAGGGAGAGAGAGAGAAGTGGACATAGGAGGGCATGAGACAGGCATGTACAGGAGGAGGGTGAGAGACGTGTGTGTGGTGGGGGAGGGCATAGAGGAGGGTGAGAGATGAGTATTGGGGGGGAGAAAGGGGGTAGAGATGTGTGTGTGGGGGGGGGAGCGGGAGGCGGGTGATAGGGAGATGTGTTCACACGAAGGGTGAGAGAGATGTAGGGGACTGTGACCAACACTGACCTGTTGCCTACTCAGCCACCTGAAGGATTACATTCACGCTTTACAATGTTAAACGTTGACTGTCATGGGTCTCTCTGCTCACTCACTTAGTCTATCAGTCAGTGGGTCAGTGTCAGTCAGTGTCAGTGTCTCACTGTGGTGTATGTGGAGTATGTTGTGTATGTGGGTTGTGCGGGGGGGTGAGTTTTGTGAGTTATATGGTGTACGTTGTGTATGTGGGTTATATAGTTTATATGGTGTATGTGGGTCATGTAGTATATGTCAGTGTTACACTGTGGTGTATGTGGGTTATATGGTGTATGTTGTGCATGTGGGTTATATGGTTTATGTGGGGTATGTCAGTGTCTCTGGTCTCTGACACTTGCTCTCTTCTCGCTGCAGACGCCGGGGAGAAAGGAGCTCAGCTATCGGGGGGACAGAAACAGCGAGTGGCCATCGCCCGAGCCCTTGTCCTTGACCCTCGCGTCCTCATCCTCGACGATGCCACCAGCTCCCTGGATGTGGAGAGTGAGCACATGGTAACTATGGCATCACCTAGTAAACAGTAACTAGTCAGCAAATTACCTGGTAAATAGTAACTAGCCAGACTTCACCTGGTAAATAGTAACTAGCCAGACATCTCCTGGTAAACAGTAACTTGCCAGACATCACCTGGCAAATAGTAACTAGTCAGCATATCTCCTGGTGAAAAGTAACTAGTCAGCACATCACCTGGTAAATTGTAACTAGCCAAGATATCACCTGGTAACTATTAGGAAACCAGTACATGATATTGTTATCAGTTGTTTTTTAGCTAAATATCAGTTGTCTTTGTAAATACGGTATCAAATTACAAGGACGCACACCAACTCACGGTTTATATGGTAAACTTTCACTAAACTGTCAAGTCACCTAATTAACATTAAGCAGCATTGCCTATGGTAATAATTAACAGCATTTCCCCCAGTAAATAATAACCAACCACAGCTCTGCACAGAAAATATTACCTCATCAGCACTTCTTGTGGTAGATATTAATTGATCATCGCTGTGCGTGTTAAGCGTTAACCAGCACCAGTGACCAGTCTCACACTCCTGTCTGTTCAGGTTCAGGGGGCAGTTTTCCAGCGATCTGAGGAGCGAGCGCTGCTGGTCATCGCTCACCGGATGAGCACCGTGGAGAACGCGGACCAGATCCTGGTGCTGGAGAACGGGAGCATCGTGGAGCGAGGTCGGCACCAGGAGCTGCTCCTCCAGGATGGCATTTATCGACGTCTCCGACAGAACCAGCTCCGGGGATTCGGGAAAAACAGAGACACTGTGGCGGCAGGCACAGGCACAGGTACAGGCACTGGTACAGCTGAGGAGCCGTGACATCGACAACAACAACAACAAGTTGCACTTATAAAGTGCCCTCCACACAGGCCAGTGTCTCAGAGCACTTAACCTTCACTCTTCAACCAGCGACTCCAAGGAATGATGTGCTGCTGCTCGTCACAGGCTCCTGCTTCACTGTAGACATTAGATTGTAAATAAATGGGATTAATAAAGCGTTTTGTACTAAACACTCAATCTGCCATTTTTATTAAAAGTTGCACCTCTGCAGAATAATAAAACCAGTGGTCATACGGCCTGTGATTGAATTCACATCCAATCTCCACCAAGACTATCTGAGTGAGAGGATAGTGAACCCCTGGCACAGCCTCCCTCAGGGGCAGAGACCATAAAGCAGCAAATGTTCATTCTTTCAAATACGGAGATCATTTTTTTCGAGGAAATAACATGATGAGATAATAATAATCCTTGCATTTGATATAGCGCTTTTCACATCGGGAGGACGTCCCAAAGCGCTTCACAGAACACACTGTAAAGTGAATTGACTGTATTTTGTGGGCGAAACGCGGCAGCCAATTGCGCACAGCAGTGTCCCACAAACAGTCATGGATAGAAGTGACCCAATTTTTTTTTCTTGAGGGATTATTATCAGGCGTATGGAGCAAAGAAACTTGCCGAAGGTGTCGCCCTGCCGGGAATCAAACCCTGGTCTCTTGCTTGCAAGGTGAGTGCTCTACCCACTGAGCTACAGGACTCCAGTGATGGACCTTGGCCTTTAGATGGACCTTGGGCTTTATTTGTCCAGTATTTTTTATGTTCTTATGGTCTTGTGCACATCGCGGCTCAAGGCTTAGTGAGATCTTCATGTTGGAGAAGATGTAAAAGTCACATCATCGGGTGTCCGGAGCCAGTGAAGCAGTTTCTCGCAATGAGCGTGTTATCTGCCGGTGTGAACACATGTTTATCTTGTGATGGGAGCACACGTGTGCGAGGGGTATGGTTGAGACTTGATTGTGAATTACTCACACTCGGTGTCTCTCGCACTCTGATCTGTAGATGTTTGAGTCCAATTCACACTCGTTTTTCACACTCAACAATGACAAGTCACTCAGTCACTGACTCACATAAACGAGTGAACACGAGGCGTGTTCTTCCGACACACGAGAAGAGCAAAGATGGTCTCAAACAATAAAGTTAAGGTTAGAGTTTGCTCAGGTTTGTGGGGCTCTCGGGCCCTCCGGAAGCCAAGTGATGATTGTGGTCATTCTGCTGCTCTGATGTGCTTCTCTGGCGCCGCCTGGCGGTGTCCGGGCTCTATCGCCGCCTGGCGGTGTCCGGACTCTGGCGCCGCCTGGCGGTGGTCGGGCTCTGGCGCCGCTGATTGAGCTGAAACCTGAGAAGTTTCAATCTGCTCCGCAACTGGTGACGCGGTGAACACAGCATCGCGAGTGGCGGAGTGCCCGACAGCCCCGCCCCCCGCTCACAGCCCCGCCCCCCCGCCCACAGCCCCGCCCCTCGCTCACAGCCCCGCCCCCCGCTCACAGCCCCACCCCCACAGCTCACAGCCCCGCCCCCACTCACAGCCCCGCCCCCCCGCTCACAGCCCCGCCCACCCCCACAGCTCACAGCCCCCCACCCCCACAGCCCCCCCCACCCCCACAGCCCCTCTACCCCACCCCCACAGCCCCCCCCACCCCCACAGCTCACAGCCCCCACCCCCACAGCTCACAGCCCCCCCCACCCCCACAGCCCCCCACCCCCACAGCCCCCCCACCCCCACAGCCCCCCCACCCCCACAGCCCCCCCCACCCCACAGCTCACAGCCCCCACCCCCACAGCTCACAGCCCCCACCCCCACAGCCCCCCCCACCCCCACAGCTCACAGCCCCCACCCCCACAGCTCACAGCCCCCACCCCCACAGCTCACAGCCCCCCACCCCCACAGCCCCCCCACCCCACAGCTCACAGCAGAGACACCATCACAAGCTTCAAACACCAACTAACAGGCAGCGGTTTAACCCCTTGTGCTTGTGTTTAACCCTCTGTGTCTGTGTTTAACCCTCTGTGTGTTTAACCCCCTGTGTCTGTGTTTAACCCTCTGTGTGTTTAACCTCCCTGTGTCTGTGTTTAACCCTCTGTGTCTGTTTAACCCTCAGTGTCTGTGTTTAACCCTCTGTGTCTGTGTTTAACTCTCTGTGTCTGTGTTTAACCATCTGTGTCTGTGTTTAACCCTCTGTGTGTTTAACTCTCTGTGTTTGTGTTTAACCCTCTGTGTCTGTTTAACCCTCTGTGTCTGTGTTTAACCCTCTGTGTCTGTGTTTAACCCTCTGTGTTTGTTTCTGTGTTTAATCCTTTATCCCATGATTCGCTTTGCTTTCCCGCACCTCCGCAACATCGCCCGACTCCGCCACTGCCTCAAGATCCCTCAGGCCACCAAAACCCTCATTCACACATTCATCACATCTACTATAACAACAACTTGAAGTTATATAGCGCCCTCCACCCAGGGCAGCGTCTCAGAGTGCTTAACAGTAGGGGAGCTGGACGCCAAGTTGGGGGGAGTGGGCGACGTGACCGTAAGCACAGTCGAAGATGAAGGTTTTCAGGCACGATTTGAAAGAGGGGAGGGGGCACGGCAGAGGGATTGAGGGAGAGTGTTCCAGAGTTTTGAGGTGTAGTAGCTGAAAGCAAAACCTCCAATGGTGGGGCGGAGGGTATGAGGGATGGGCAGGAGGCCGGTGCCACTCGAGTGGAAGCACTGACCAGGGGAGTGAGGAGGTCAGAGAGGTGGGGAGGTGCCAGAGAGTGAAGAGATTTGAACACAAGAGTGAGGATCCTGAAGTCGATCTTTTTGTTGATGGAGAACCAGTGGAGTCTGGGCCAGAGCTGGTGAGATGTTGATACACAGTTTGGTCCGGGTCAGTATGCAGGCGACATCTCGGCTCGACTACGCCAATCCCCTGCTTGTCGGCCTCCCCAACTCTTCCCTCCACAGGCTGCAGATCATCCAGAACTCTGCAGCTTGTGGGCTCTCCCTCACCAGACTCCGTAACCCCATCACCTCACCCTCGCCTGCCCGGCTCCACTGGCTCCCCATACCCCAAAGGATAGGGTTCAAAACCCTTGTCCTCGCCTTCAAGGCCCTCCATGACCTTGTCCCTCTCTACCTCTCAGATCTGCTGACCCCTTAACAACCTGTCCACTCCCTCCGCTCAGCGGGCTCCGGACTGCTCCATGTCCCCCGCCCGCCCCCCCCACACCCCCACCATAGGTGGTCGGGCCTTCAGCCTCTCCGCCCCCACCCTCTGGAACTCCATCCCACATTCCCTTTGCCTCGCTCCCTCCCTTGCCTCTTTTCAAGACTCCTTCAACCGTGCCTTCGGCCATCCTGCTGCCCCCTGTCCTCCACCCTCCCTTACCGCAATACCCCCCCACCCCCTCTCTGGCCAAAATCCCTGACTGTCCAGCGCCTTGAGACGTCCTCCCGATGTGAAAGGTGGAGTGTAAATGTCATTCTGTATTGTATTGGATCAGTATTTAACCCTATGTGGGACACACTGTGACACTGACAGACACACACACACACACACTCTGACAGACACACTCACTCACACACACAATGACAGATACACATTTACACACACACTGACACACACACACACTAACTCACACACACTGAGACACACACACACACACAGACTCACACACACTGACAGACACACTCACACAGACTCTCACACACACACACACTAACTCATACACACTGACAGACACACTCACACACACTGACACACACACACACTAACTCACACACACTCACACACATTGATATAAACACTCACACTCACTCACACATACACACACACACACTGACAGACACACTCACACACTCACTCACATACACTGACAGACACACTCACTCACACACACACACACACTGACAAACGCTGAGAGGCGCTGAGTGACCGATGTGAATAGGTTCCACTTTCACTTTCGTCTCTGCTCGTATCCGGATTAAATCTTTCCGCTGTTTCAGGGTAATATGGCGCTGCCGTCTGTGTGCGTGTCCCGAGCCTGGGCTCCGGGGGGTGACCTGTGGGGGGCAGAGGGGTCGGGGGAGGGGACTGGAGGGGCCGCGGCTCTGAGCAGTGGATGGGCAGTACCCGCGGGACTGGATGTGAGTATTTGATCCGCAGCCGCTCAGCTCACATGGACTTCCTGATCCACAGCCGCTTCCCATTGCATTCCCTGTGATGTTCACCTCCGCCAAATGTCTCACTCACCCCGACTGCAGCTCGGGCTGACTGTACCCCGACACCTCCTCTCCGTGAGCCTGAGGGTGAGAGTGAGTGTGAGAGAGTCTGTGAGAGTGTGAGAGAGTGTGAGAGAGTCTGTGAGAGTGTGAGAGTCTGTGAGTGTGAGAGTGAGTGTGAGAGCCTGAGAGTGAGAGTGAGTGTGAGAGTGAGTGTGAGAGTGAGTGTGAGAGCCTGAGAGTGTGAGAGTGAGTGTGAGAGTGAGTGTGAGAGTGAGTGTGAGAGCCTGTGAGTGTGAGAGTGAGTGTGAGAGCCTGAGAGTGAGTGTGAGAGCCTGAGGGTGAGAGAGTCTGTGAGTGTGAGAGTGAGTGAGTCTGTGAGTGTGAGAGTCTGTGAGTGTGAGAGTGAGTGTGAGTGTGAGAGCCTGTGAGTGTGAGAGCCTGTGAGTGTGAGAGTGAGAGTGAGTGTGAGAGTCTGTGAGAGTGAGAGTGAGTGTGAGAGAGTCTGTGAGTGTGAGAGTGAGTGTGAGAGAGTCTGTGAGAGTGAGTGTGAGTGTGAGAGCCTGTGAGTGTGAGAGTGAGTGTGAGAGCCTGTGAGTGTGAGAGTGAGTGTGAGAGTCTGTGAGTGTGAGAGTGAGTGTGAGAGCCTGTGAGTGTGAGAGTGAGTGTGAGAGCCTGTGAGTGTGAGAGTGAGTGTGAGAGTCTGTGAGTGTGAGAGCCTGAGAGTGTGAGAGCCTGTGAGTGTGAGAGCCTGTGAGTGTGAGAGAGTCTGTGAGTGTAAGAGTCTGTGAGTGTGAGAGCCTGTGAGTGTGAGAGTGAGTGTGAGAGTGAGTGTGAGAGTGAGAGTCTGTGAGTGTGAGAGTGAGTGTGAGTGAGTGTGAGAGTGAGTGTGAGAGTGAGTGTGAGAGTGAGAGTGTGAGTCTGTGAGTGTGAGAGTGAGTGTGAGTGTGAGAAAGAGAGCCGGTGAGAGTGAGTCTGTGAGTGTGAGAGTGAGTGTGAAAGCCTGAGTGTCAGAGTGAGCGTGAGTGTGCGAGTGAGTGTGAGAGCCTGTGAGTGTGAGAGTGACTGTGAGAGCCTGAGTGTGAGAGTGAGTGTGAGAGCCTGAGTGTGAAAGTGAGCGTGAGAGCGAGTGTGAGAGTGAGAGTCTGTGAGTGTGAGAGTGAGTGTGAGAGCCTGAGTGTGAGAATGAGTGTGAGACAGTCTTTGAGTGAGTCTGTGAGTGAGTGTGTATGAGCCTGTGAGTGGGAGAGAGTCTGTGAGTGAGTGTGTGAGAGTGAATGTGTGAGAATCTGTAAATGTGTGAGTGAGTGTGTGAGTGTGGGAGAGTGATTATTCGTTATTCGAACCCCTTCAGTCGGGTTTCGGTGCTGCCCATAGCACAGAAACTGCCCTGGTCAAGGTCACCAATGATATCCTGACCATCTGTGACCAGGGCTCCCTCTGCCTCCTCGTCCTCCTCGACCTATCGGCAGCATTCAATACGGTCGACCACACTATCCTCCTCCACCGCTTGTCCTCCCACCTCAACCTTCAAGGCCCTGTCCTTGAGTGGTTTAGGTCGTACCTTTCTCACCGTCTTCACTTTGTCTCAACAAATGGCTTCTCCTCCACCCCCCGCACTGTCTCATGTGGAGTCCCTCAGGGCTCTGTCCTCGGTCCCCTCCTCTTCACCCTCTATATGCTCCCCCTGTGGTGACACCATCCGCAGACATGGGGTTCACTCCCACATGTATGCGGATGACACCCAACTCTACCTTTCCTCCTCTACCCTCAACTCCATGACCCCGATGTCCTGACAGCTGTCTGTCCGACATCGAGTCCTGGACGAGAGACAACTTTCTTCAGCTCAACGTGCGCCAAACTGAGGCCCTCCTGATTGGCTCACGTCAGCGCCTCCGCACCTCAGGCGCTGACAGCATCAGCTCCGCACTCTCCACCTCTCAAAGCCATCAGGAACCTCGGGGTTCTCGACCCTGAGCTGTCCTTTCTCCCTCATATCCGCGCCACAACTGTCACCGCCTTCCATCACCTCCGGAACATCGCCAGACTACGGCACTACCTCACCCCTCACGCGGCTGAAACTCTGGTCCACACCTTTATCACCTCAAGGCTGGACTATGGGAATTCTCTCCACGCCGGCCTTCCCGGCCCTCCCTCCACACTGCAGGTCATTCAGAACTCTGCAGCTCGTGTACTGGCCCGCACCAGGCTTCGTGCCCACATCACTCCCACCCTCACCCTCGCTCGCCTCCACGGGCTCCCCATCCCCCAGAGGATCGAATTCAAGATCCTCATCCTCACTTACATGGCCATTCACGACCTCGCTCACTCCTACCTCTCCGACCTACTATCCCCCTCCCTACCTGCCCGTACCCTCCGTTCCTCTGGCTACGGTCTGCTCCACATCCCCCGCCCCAACCCCCCTACCATCGGTGGCCGGGCCTTCAGCCTCTCAGCCCCGAGGCTCTGGAACTCTATCCCCCAGTGCCTTCGCCACCTCCTCCCTTTCCTCCTTCAAGGCCGGTCTCAAGACCTTTCTCTTTGACCTTCAGCCTTCAGCTCCCCTCTCGACACTCTAACCCCTCCTCGCTCCCTCCCTTCCCTCCCCTCACCCTGACCATTTCCCCCTTGCTCGGGTCCTGACCCAACTGTACAGTGCCTTGGGACGTGAAAGGCGCTCTAAAAATGGAATCTTGTTGTTGTTGTTGTTGAGGGTGTGAGTGAGTGTGGGAGAGTGAGGGTGTGAGTGAGTTTGTGTGAATGAGTGTATTTGAATGTGTGAGAGTGAGAGTGAATGAGTGTGTGAGATTGTGAGTGGAGATTGCAATGAGAGTTCACACCGTGTGTTAGTTACTGGGCTCTTGGTGACTTAATGAGAGTGATTTGGGACAGAGGCCCCGCGGGGCGGGTGTCACTCTCAGTCTGAAGACTTTCTGAGTCCGGCTGCGATCAGCGACCAATCTCTGCCCCTCCCTCCCTCCCTCCCTCCTTCCCTCCCAGGATCATATGCTCAGTGTGGGCGAGGCTCCCCCTTACCCACTCCCTTTGCCCCCATCCCCTCACCCCTCACTCCCCTCTCCCTCCCCCACTCCCTTCCTTCCCTCATCCCCACTCCCTCCCTCCACTCACTTCCCTCACCCACTTTGCTCACCCACGACCCCCCCTCCCCCCCACCCACTCCCTACCCTCCCCCTTTCTCCCACTCGTTTCCCCCATCCCTGATCACCCATCCCCTCCCCCTGCCCTTTGCCCAGCCCATTCTCCTGCTCCCTGCTTGACCTCTGCCCCTCACCTACTTCCCCCCACTCACTCCCCGCCCTCTCACCTGCTTGCCCTCTCCCCATGGCCTCTCTCCCGTTCCTCTGGGTTTGTGCTGACCTTACGGTTTGTGTAAAGTGAGCTGTTATGTTGCAGCCGGTGGAGTTTGTAAAGCCGTACACAGAGGGCGAGTCTGGGGTCCAGATCAGATTACACCATGGGACCACCACCATGGCATTCAAATTCCAACATGGAGTCATCGTGGCCGTGGACTCCAGAGCCTCAGCGGGATCCTATATAGGTCGGTATCTCATAACCCACTGGAGCTTTCTAACCCCATTCACGCTCTCACTGCATCTTAAAGTCCAAATAATGGCCTTTTCTTTGTTTGCTTTGTATCTTCCAAACACCTCTCTCTCTATTGGGCCGCAGTCCCTTTAGCCCATCCCTTGATGTTGGCTCTTCGGTCTCTCTTAGCAGTTTAATCTCTCTGCAGCTTTTCTCTATTCTTCAATCTTACCTGGAGTTCAGGTTTGGCTCCTGCCCTGTAAATGCTGTATGTTTCTGTCTTCAGGTGCAGATTTGATTGGAGCTGTTTAAACTCTTGCTAATCTGTGTTTTAACCCTCTCGGGAATTGGGTAAACAGGGTGTGCCCCTCCAGGGAGAGAGTGCACGTTCTGACCCCCATTGGGAAATAACCATATGCAGATGGCAAACATAGGTTTTGCTTTCAGTAATTTGGTTTAGAGACTCTTGAAACCAAACACATCCTTCAGTCAATCTGGGCAAATCCATTTGCTTTAATGTCCTATATTTAATCAGGTTGTCCTTGTTCTCAACTCTTGCTTTTCCTTTTCTGTTTCCCCTGATCGAGTTCTGTCATGATCACTTTGTCCCAAACATTCCCATGTGACGGTCACACATGTAAAGGTCACACACGTGAAGTTCACACATGCAAAGGTCACACACGTGAAGGTCACACACGGAAAGGTCCCACATGTGAGGGTTATGTGACCCCTGAGAAGCCAGAACTGATTGTACAGACCTGTCCGTGCAACTTTACACAGCTGAGCTTCACTGTCTGACTGTATCTGTGTATGAGCTTCACTGTCTGACTGTATCTGTGTCTGAGCTTCACTGTCTGACTGTATCTGTGTCTGAGCTTCACTATCTGACTTATCAAGCTACCGGCCCATCTCCAACCTCCCCTTCCTGTCCAAGGTCCTTGAAAGAGTTGTCGCTTCCCAGCTGCGCTCTTTCCTCTCCACCCATGCACTATTCGAACCCTTTCAGTCGGGTTTCCATGCTGCCCATAGCACAGAAACTGCCCTGGTCAAGGTCACCAATGACATCCTGACCATCTGCGACCAGGGCTCCCTCTGCCTCCTCGTCCTCCTCGACCTATCAGCAACATTCGATACGGTCGACCACGCTATCCTCCTCCACCGCTTGTCCTCCCACCTCAACCTTCAAGGCACTGTCCTTGAATGGTTTAGGTCATACCTCTCCCACTGTCTTCATTTTGTTTTCACAAACGGCTTTTCCTCCACCCCCCGCACTGTCTCGTGCGGTGTCCCTCAGGGCTCTGTCCTCGGTCCCCTCCTCTTCACCCTCTATATGCTCCCCCTGTGGTGACACCATCCGCAGACATGGGGTTCACTCCCACATGTATGCGGATGACACCCAACTCTACATTTCCTCCTCTACCGTCAACTCCACGACCCCCAATGCCCTGACAGCTGCCTGTCCGACATCGAGTCCTGGACGAGAGACAACTTTCTTCAGCTCAACGTGCGTAAAACCGAGGCCCTCCTGATTGGCTCGCGTTAGCGCCTCTGCACCTCAGGCGCTGACAGCATCAGCATCCAAGGCCGCACTCTCCATCTCTCAAAGCCAGTCAGGTACCTCGGGGTTCTGTTCGACCCTGAGCTGTCCTTTCTTCCTCATATCCGCGCCATAACTGGCACTGCCTTCCACCACCTCCGAAACATCGCAAGACTACGGCACTACCTCACCCCTCACGCGGCTGAAACTCTGGTCCACGCCTTTATCACCTCAAGGCTGGACTATGGGAACTCTCTCCTCGCCGGCCTTCCCGGCCCTCCCACCACAAGCTGCAGGTCATTCAGAACTCTGCAGCTCATGTACTGTCCCGCACCAGACACCGCGACC